TCATTTTTTACGAAACAATAGCCACATGAATGACTATAAATTTTTTATTAATATATAAGTATGGATATGTATAGTATGTATGTACCTATGTACTACAATTTATAATATGTTTCTGCATAGATTTATTTTTAGACATGGGGTATTAAGGGTATGTCATTAATTATACGCCACTGGCATGCCATTCGAACTGGAATTGCCCAATGTGGGGCTCATTGTTGTTAATAGCGACAGCTTTTGTTTAGCATGATAATAGTACACACATATATATACTTGTATATAGTAGTATACTTGTATATATTAGTGATATGTATATACACGATACATATGCTAAGAAAAGAAAACAGATTTTCAGTTTAAGACGAAGAACAAGAAAAAACAATACCTTTATTAGCTAATAAAATATTTACGAGCTTTCTGGGTGCAAAGAATCAACAAATTTACGAGTCTGCTGTAGCTATACTACATACCATATACATTATACATATATACGAGTAGCAATAGCAACAACAATGCTGTATCTAAAGCAAACAAATGCGCACCTTATCTACAATTTTGTATTTGAGCTGTTTCTCATGACCATCGCTTTGTCAAGACAAATATTTAACCAAGGACTGGGACTCTGTGGTCATTGTTTTATGCCTACATGGTGTGCAAGTGTATGTGTATGTGTATGACTAATGCCTTAGACTCCAGATGGGCAAGGTCCGACACAATATTGCCAACAAAATGGCTCAATGAAAATGCTTCGTAACTTGTCTGATGAATGCATATAATTGGTGCTGATGGAAAAAAAAAATGTGGGCTGACTGACTTCGCCTCGAATCGTTCTTGAAATTGCAATTACGAATTCTACTTAAGTGTGCGTAAATCAGCCAAGAAAACTTGTAAATATAATCACATTATGCTTAGATGCACAATTGTGTCATAAATACAAAAACTTGATACAGATAAAATTTATTGTAAACCCTTTATAACCACAATGTTTCGTTCATAGGAACGATCTTAATAAGATCACTTTTTTCTGTATGAAAATATCTTTAACCATATTCCAAAGAATGGCTACAACGATCGGTATAAAAATGAACCATTTTCTGTTTATAAAGTTATCCTAATACATTTTTTTTTAGTAGTGCCTCATTGCAATCTGAATCATATAGCTGCCATAGGAGAGATCGTTGTAGAAATCAATCTTAGTACGAAACATTGTTTTGTTCAAAATCTGTGCATTATATCATAAAGCAGCCATAGAAATGTTTGGCATAACAAAGTTGAGTTTAGTTGAAGGGCTTGAACGACTTGAACGTTCTACTCGTCTCGCATTTGTTTATATGTTTTATTTTATTTTTTTTTTTTTGGCCAGCTAAACAGGCTGAGCACACTCATCCTATATATTTCTCATGTGTATCTTTTTCTAGCGTCGCATTTGTTTATTCAATGCAGCGACGACCTTTGACGATCGTCGGACGCACACATGGCGTATGCGTAATGCGTCGTCGATTTCTGCTCTTTTTTTGGCTTTGTAATTATTACGCTCGCACAGGTATGTATGGGGGTATACATACATATACATACATGCATACGTGTACATGCCAATTGAATGTAGTATTTAATAGTTGTTGTTGCTGCCGCTTTTATTGCATTTTTCACAATTACGTGCGGGCTAACTTATTTAAGGCGTGTCTCATCTTATAAACAAATAAACATAAAAATAAAATAAGAAATTCAACGCCGCTACAATTACCACCTTGACCCATATGTATGTATGTGTATGTATGTATGTATGTATGTATGTGCGTGTTTGTGTTTGTAATAAACCGGCTGGGTGTGTCAAAAAATGAATCAGAACGAGCGGGAGGCGAAAGTTATTACATCTATCAATAATTCTCTGCCTGAAATCGTGACTATCATCTAAACACCCAGAGGAGTGAGTAATCGAACAACATCGTTTCTGAGCCCAACAATAATAATATTATTATTATTATTATTATTATTTGTGAAGCAGTCTGTCACTCTAAAATTCATTCAAATAGTATTACGCATACGACTTTTGAATAAATAAAGTTAAAATTGCCAGCTGCACTAATATTCAATTATTTAAAGTTTTTTATTTAAAAACAATGCTCTTAGAGAATTGAATGAAATAAAATACTTTTCAGCCACAACGGCAAATGATATTCTTTATTGTGTATTTGTGTAAACGTTTATGGACTAACTATACTTGTATTGTTCGAAATTCTCTCTAGGAATCAATACCTTTTATCGTTCCTTTGGAATTTGAATTTGTCCTTCGAATTTTTTGTTAAAAACTCGTTATTTTTATAGCCTGTACCCAAAGGGTGAAAGGCTATACTAGTTTTGTGCGCATGTATGTAACACACAGAAGGAGGCGTGGCAGACCCCACAAAGTATATATATTCTTGATCAGGATGAGAAGCCGAGTGGATATAGCCTTGTCCGTCCGTCCGTCTGTCCGTCTGTCCGTCTGTCCGTCTGTCTGTCCGTCTGTCCGTATGAACGCAAGGATCTCAGAAAGTATAAGAGCTAGAATAACCAAACTTGGTTTCCATATTCTCCTAAGACCGAGAAAGTACGAGTTTGAGTTTTTTTTCGATGCACCCCCCCACTCCCCCGCAATTCATGTTTTTGTCCATAACTTCCATAATTTGTAGATTTTCGAACCCAAAATTGTCATATACCTCCAGTTGGTGATTATGAGTTCGTATGCTAAGATTCATTATGATAGGTCAATTCTGAAGAAAGTTATAGCCATAAGTAAAATCGCTGCTCATGCGCTGCCTCTGTCGGCAGCGCTGCCCGCAGCTGTTTTTGTTGTTGCTGCTTTGGTTCAACTTTGTGCTGCATACATACACGCATATAAACACGCATAGGTACGTGATGTAAATGTATGCTGTTAAAACTGAAGATAAACATGTATTCTAATTTAATTGAATTAATTAATTAATTCATTCTTTTTTTTTAATAATTTAATTTTTTTTAATTTTTTTTTTTTTTAATATTTCTTTTTTGTGGAGAGTACAGGCTATTTTACTGTCGGGCTTGCTCGACTGTAGCGTTCTATCTTGTTTTTATTATCAGTTTTAAAAACTACTTTAAATCAATTATTAATTTGTAGCTGAATATATAAATTTCTATTTTCTTCAAGTTAATTTTCACAGTTTTTACTTTTTAGATTTTGAATTAACTTTGAATAATCGATTTATAATTTTCGAAATCTTAAATAGTTGCTTTATTAATCAGTTCGAGCCCATTTACGTATTTGTTGAGAGAATCGGAAAACAAATGGCATCAGCAATTTCTAAAAAGCTGCCTATATTAATCATCACATAGTTGTAATGTTTATAGAAACGCAATCATCCCACTCTAAATATGCACATAGTGTAGTGCATATAAGCGATAAGAATATTGGTATGAGTACTTTGTAATTTTATGAGAAGCCAAACGGATGTTAGGAAATATCCAGCGATGAATAATAATTAATAAACAGTTCTACAAAATATTTCTATAGAAACAGTCAGACGAGCAGTTCGGTATATAACACACATACATATAACCGATCAGTGCAAAAAAAAAAAATGCTTTTAATGTGATCAGTTTTTTGTTTATAAATATATGTTAAACAAATTGCTTTGTTAAGAGCCTTCTGACAATCTAAAGTTTCATTAAAAATCTTGTGAATTCTTTCATCCCAAGTATAATTATAGCTTTTAAAAATCATACTACTTATGAATAGTACGCTGGCTATCAGTTGAAAGAAAAAGAAAATGAAGTAAAAGACAAATAAGTAAATTGCTAATAATCATACTGAAGGCTCATCAAACAGTAGTACATAATATACAGATACTCGTATGTACATATGTACGTTTATTTAAAACAATGGCTTGCTGATAAACCCAAGGCAGGGCTCGCCAATTTCGAGCGCTTCAGATTTAAATGCAAATAAAATTAAATGAAATGATGAATTGCATGCAAATATGCATTTAAGTGAAATAAAATCGAACAAGAACAAAAAGATACAAAATAAATTGTTACTTAATTTGTTTGTTGGTTAATTGAAGTAAATCGCTGCAGTTGCTGAACTGAAATCGCTCCCAAATTACGAATACATTTTATTTTGTATTTGCAAAATAATGAATTCGACTACAATAAATAAATAAATAAATCCAAAGCTGATGCTACGCTTGTGCTCGTACGCTGATGACATCATTGGCGAGCCAGAATCCGGCGCTATGATGTCAAACGGAAGCCAAAATCAAGTCGAGTTATGTGTGCCTCTATTCTATTTTTCTTCTTCTTTTATTTCTACGCATACACACAAATACATACATATGTATGTATAGGTGTATGTATGTATTTGTGACGCCCACCCTAACAAATTATTTGTGAGCCATTGTTAAGCATCTTTTGAGCTGCCTAAACGAGACGGAGAGCGCCCGGCTCTGCACACGCATATTATTAATGACATCATGCAGTCAGTCAGTCAGTCAATTAGTTAGTTAGCCTGTTAGTTGGGTATTGTGGCCCAAAAGAAGCCAAGAGAAGGCCCCATTCCCACACCCCTGCTGGCTCACGCATTATGCGCAAATTACTACGACGTAGTTAAGCCAAATTGCCCAAAAAGAGCCAAAACGTATGAAATCATGCCCAAAACTAAAAAAAAAAAAAAACAAAAAAAAACAAAATTAAATCACGCGCATTACCACAAACGAAAAACCAGTTGCTGCTACCCTCGGCTCAAGGTTACAAAACGCGATTCAAAATTACGCGTTGAGACGAATACAAACAAATACATAGTCAAGGACAGGCACACAAAAAGGATAGGTACATACATACATACATGTATGTGTCGTATGTATGTATGTATATAAAGCAACAATGTTGCAGAAAGTATAAGAACAATAAATATCGGTGCAGGTTTTTTGTTTTCATTCGACAGACAGACAGGAAATGTGCGGGAACAGCAAATGCTCTCCAACACTTACCAATTCAATGATCTTCAATAGCAAACGATTGTTGAACTCCATGTCGGTGACGCGATGCTTTTCTTTACTTCTGTTTTTTTTTTTTATTAACTTCAACTATGCAGCTGCTTTGAATTTGTTGGCAATTTGCCCGCCTTTTTCTTTTTTTTAATTATTTATTTATTTTTTTGCGGCTTTAACAAAACCAAACAAACAAAGCTCAGGACCTTTGCGGTGTGCGTGCTTGTGCTGCTCTGTCGGCGTACACTAACGAACTGACGCCAGCAAAACGAAGCACAAACATGAAAAGCCGAGATACAAAACCCCCAGTTGCCGCTGCTGCTAACAGTGATGCCAACTTTTTAAAAGGAAAAAACTGTTTTTGGCAGGAAGGAGCTTGATTTCACGCTTAAATGTTGGCAATTCTAAAAAAGCGATAAAAAATGTAAATTGATCTAAAAAATTATAAATTTCTGCATTCCATTTCCCACAATTATCGAGTTTTTCCCGCAATTGGAATTAAAAAACAACTAGATTTAACGGGTAAAAAGCCAAAATGGCATCTCCCGCTGCTAACAGCAACAGCGACGCTGACGTTGACGGCGTCGTCGACGGTAACTGTGACGCCAGCGACGGCTTGCTCATCAGATGTTATCACCGTTGCGTGTAGTTAGACTTTATGGGATCATCTTTCAAAAATATTAGGCACCCCAATGCTTGTATGTATGTATGTTTGTGTACTCATTTCTGGGAAATGTAATTTAGTTATTTGTTCAAATATTGTTGCTTAATCTTTTTAATCATCATATATTTGTTTGTTTTATCATTATTTTTTAATTTTTTTTATTACTTATGTTTTTATTTCTTCATCCATTTAATTTTATTAATTTATTTGCGTTTTTTATGGTAGTTATTTATTTATTGTTTTTTAAAACATTTAAACATTTTTTCTTTGTTATATGCTTTTATATGGTTCTTAATTATTTATTTATTTACTATATTTAGTATTTTCTTATGTTTTTAGATTTTTATCTGATTATTTTTCAAATTATTGATTTGCTAAAGTAAAAGCTAGGAAGCTGAAATTTGGACTCAAGTATCCTTTTATAGCGTAGGTTGGCAATAAGAAGGAAAATTCGAAATCCAAAGATGGGAAAACAGGCTCCAACGTTATGTACATATTTGTATAATAAATAATTTATTTCATATTATTTATTTGTTTATTTTAACTTGTGTATTTATAACTTCATTAATTATTTATATTAATTAATATAATATAATTTGTTTTATTTTTTCATTATTTTCTATTTTCATTCAATAATTTTTATTTCTATTTATTTATCCATTTTTCTAACATGTTTTTTGTACTATTTCTTACACTATTTATTTAATTATTTCATTATGTTTTTGAAATATTTACTGATTTTGTTTCAATTACTTATTTATTTAATTATAACTTTTCAAATCCCAATTTCATCTTTAACGTTAACCTTTACCATGGGAGGGCTTAATGATTATTTGTTCATATTTAGCTATTGTTTTTGAATGATGAGTTATTATTTAATGCCCCTATATGTATGTTCTATACCTTGAAACACAACACGCATACTAATCCGTTTGTAACAGCACTCAGCCACAGAAAAAAAGCCACGAATTGGGAATTATAACTCAATGTGGAAACCATAATTTAGTTTTCGGGAATCGGGGTTAGATTTGAAGGCGAAAATTTGTATGCTCGATTACACAATTTTATAATATTAATACTAATTAATTTTAGTAGTTTATGTAATAAATTGCACATCTTTGCACACTTTTGATTATTCGTAGTTGACAAATTTTTTTGGAAATTCATGCTGAGCGGCAAGTAATTTTTTTAATAATTTCGGCAATAAATTGCCTATAAGTTATAAGTTCCCATTATTCCCATTTTATAGATTCGGCACGGGATCAAAAAAAATCGTTCTCGCCGCGATGAATCAAACAATGGTATTTTTTTTAAATGCTGAAAATGTGTTTTAACACCTCTGCAAAAAAATAATCTCTAAATCGTTGATTAAGAGATTAAAATAAAAAATAATGTTAAATCTTAAACTCAAAACTGTCTATGTATTTATATTAAATTCTTAGCGTTATTTAACATTTATTTGTTTATAAGAAATCTTACAATTTTATGGTAATCATATTTTATAGTTCAGATAAGCAAGAGGACCGATAACAGTAATTTTGTATGTTATTAAGTTATTGGGAAGAATGTTTAACAAAACTCAGTTCATATATCTGATCATATATTTTTATAAATTTCAATTTTTTGCAAAGTAGCTCCACAAGGCATATTAATATCACCTTACACATTTGTATGTAAGTTTTTATCTCAAAGAATGTAAATAAAACGCCTGGTATTTGTAGGGGGAACCTAAATAGACATTAAATATATAAAATATATTGAAGTAGATTGTTGGAACCTATGCGAATAAATACTACACTTTGCACATGTCTACCGGTTTTGGTTATGGTTTTGGCACACAAAGAAATCTGCAAGGGATCAGCCTAGACCCACGTACTTATATAGCTACGCTACCTGGAACCTGGATACCAAGTTTGGTAATTCTAGCTCTTGTACCTTCTGAGATCATTGCGCTCATACAGACGGACGGACGGACGGACAGACGGACATGGCTAAATCGACTCGGCTTGTCACCCTGATCAAAAATATACATATATACTTTGTGGGGTCTGCCACGCCTCCTTCTGTGTGTTACATACATTCGCACAAAACTAGTATAGCCTTTCACCCTTTGGGTACAGGCTATAAAAATAATCTAAATTATAATATATTTAAGTGCTATCCATAATTCCCGAATGCATTTTAACGCGTTTGACTTCAAAAGTGGACACTAGTGACGGGTCTAATGTGGATACTGCACGGAGAGTCAAGAGCGGCATTTTCTGGGCATCGCCATGATCCCGCTCGAATGCTATAAAATCGATCCAAACACTTGGCTCCGTTTTCCCAAAAAATTTCGTCATATACTCAAAACACAGGCGGCAAGAATTCACATCAATTGGCACCTGAAAGAAAATACAAAATGTTGAGAAATTTTGCAATTTTGAATAGAATAGAGTTTAGGTATGCTCGATGAAAAATACTGCACTTTGGTTCAGGCATATTGGCGATATAGAAATTATATAACTTTCAGTGCATTTTACTGCCTGGCGATTTTAACTAAGCCCCACTACTTTCATTTTTACGTCCACAACCAATAAAAAAAAAGGTTCAAGGAAAATGTTAACAAAAATTTATTAGCTCGGTTGTCGAAAAAGTTATAATATATAATAAATAAATAAGAAAAATTAATCTTAGGACGGCTGATATTAAATAACGATTGAAAAGGAAACAATAACCTCTTTCAAGATCAACACATCTAAATCACAAATATATGCGAATAATTAAAAAAATATATATACATATATATATTTCTTCGATACAGACACACAATATGTAATGTGTTATTTAGATGTTCAACAAAACAAAATTTCTAATGGAAAAATTTTAACTTTTACAAATTTTGAGCGATCATTACTTTGACAACTCCATAGTTATAGTTCGTAAAAAATTGGCACTAAATATGACTATAAACAAAGAAGCAAATCGTGTGACGTCATTGGGATTGCTTTTCCCAATGCGCCTCCTCCTTATTATTGCATAACGCTGCAAAGACAGAGATGATTCTGTGTGCTACAAACATTCTTCCATGCAAAAAAATAAGACACATACATATGTATATGTAGGAATATATATGCATATAAATGCATATGTATATGTATGAATAAATGTATACACGCAGTATTTATGTAAGCACATGCACTTGTACGCACGCGTATGCTTTACAGTTACGTCGCAGCTAACTCCTGTCACAAAAAGCATTCTGGCTGCGCAAGCAAGACAGTTGTATTTCAAATCAACTATGATCCCTTTCATGTACAAGAAGAGAATCCACAAAATGGCAGCTACGGGTGCTGCAAACAAACATACGATTCTTGTATGTGTGTGTGTGTGAAGAGTACATGAGAAATAGTCAGCAGCAGCTGCGCACAAAGCTAACGGTACTTCTCCATTGTGCTGCCTTTCACCATGTATGTACATACATACATATGTATGTATGTATGTAGTATGGATAGCAAATTAAAATATTGAAGACTAATAAAGATTGAGTTTATAAAGCACTACATCTTTGTGGAATCAAGTACTAATAATAAGCATATACATATGTAATAAATTAAATTCATAAATTTTAAATTAAATGTACGTATGTATGTACATATATACATTTGTACATATGTATGCATATACGTACGTGGGTACATATAATTAAACACGTATGTATGTATGTATTTACTAACTGTTTCTTATATTCATAAACATAGAAGTGTTTGTACATCTTTAACAGTGAATTTTAAAGCACGTGGAATGTGCGTAGCTTTTCAGTACTAATGCGTGCGAGCAGGACGGAGTCGTGCAGATTTCGCCGGAAATGTGGATTCTGTTATAGTTGTTGCTCTGCAAATGCAGTTCCCCGCCACTCAGACGTTAACAGACATTTATTTCAAACGAGAAGCCAACGCGTGCAGGAGGACAAGCAAGCAAGACAGATTGATTTGAAGAAATTAACGAAATATCAACGTTAAAAAACGATGGAGAATGCAAAATTCGTAAATAATGAAAACGATGCCAAAGAGGGTTTCGGCGCTGATACACCGAGAGGCTTCAATCGCGGGTTGGAGCCAGAGAGAATTTTGGGTGCTACCAACGCCGGTGGCCCTTTAATGTTTTTAATGAAATGGAAAGACACTGATGAAGCAGACATAGTGCCTGCCAAAGTCGCCAACATCGTCTGTCCCCAGGTGGTGATCAAGTTCTACGAGGAGCGACTGGTCTGGCACAGTGCCAATAACGACGCTGAAAATCGTAATGACGTCGCCAAATTCGTTAAGGTGGAAAAGAACGAGGAAGAAGAGGGAGATGATAAGAACGGCATTGGTAGTGCCGCCAACTGATTAAGAACATTAAGACCGAAGAAGGCTACAACTGTGTTGGTAGCACCACCACTTATAATAGCGAAGGAACGAATTTTGAGACGCCTGAAACTATTTCTAAATAGGCGTCTCCTCTACACACACACAGCACACGCACACACACAACACACGCACACACACAACACACGCACACACACAACACACGCACACACATACGCTTACACACAAACAAACATTACTATAAAATGTATAACATTATATGTATGTTCGTATAAACATGTGATTCTTCAGATGTTCATTGAATTGCATGCAATGTAAAATAAAGCAAAGCTGTTTAATCAAACAAAATAAAAAACTGTATTGAAAAAGTATGAAAATTGTTTAAATATTTGCTCTGTATATATAATACTTTCTATACTATACAGTATAATACTCACCGATTTAGACTCCAAGTCCACCATCTGGCTATGGAGCGTTAGGGACATTGGCGGCAATAATGCCAGACGCTGATACTCCTGGCGTGCCTTGGCCGGCGAATGCTCCTGCCACAAATAGGACACATATTCGAAACGAAACTGGGCAAATTTCGGACTAAGATCGTTACAACCTATCTCAAAAATCTGTTCGAGCCTCTTCATGGATTTTGAACCGCTTCGATGGCGGTAGTAAGATATGACACGCTTCCACAAGGGCACCGATTCATCGCCAAGACTTTTGTAAGCTCGCTGGAGCAGTTCGAATACACGTGGCTCGTCATCAAGTCTGATGAGCACACAGAGCAACAATTCATTGATGCGAAACGATTCATTGTATTCAAGAATCTCGCTTAAAACTTGTACTAATGACTTCTCGCCACCTTTTTTAGCGACTAAAATTTTATACAGCACTTCATAGTGCTGGACATCCAATAGCTTTGCCTTGTGACCGCTGTGGAAAGCAGACATAAGACTCTCCTGTTTTAATTTGCCCATTTCGCTGGCGTCTTTGTTCAGTTTCAGCATCGCATTGATATACAGATCCCACATTTCTTTGGAGTTCAATGTCTGCACAGCGGTTTTGTAAACAGATACGCACAGTTCGATGCGTCGCTTCAACGAACTCGGTGTCCAAATTGTAGAAAACTGTTGACGTCGCTTTTTGATGGTGCAGACATCCAATTTCTTTTCATTCTCACCATCCGAAGGGTCTGTGGTTGAGGAGACGCATGCCATAGCTTTCTTATCAGCTGCCTCCCGATGTGCTTCTATTTCCTGTGCCTCCTGATTGTGGAAAATAACGAATTCACGCAAATCGGCCAAATGGTGGCCTTGCAATTCACGTTGCGCCAATTTATCCCACAAGACCGGCTCAAGGGGAAACTTTGCCTGCATATCTTCAATAATCTTCACCTGCAATGGCACCGTCAGATCCATCTGTTCTGTACAGGCGTCGAGCAAACTAATATAATAGTTTATGTCTTTTATATTCTGCGAACTGTTCCGATAAACAGCTTCAATGCGCTCCAATGCAATATCCAGCTCCGATATGGTATTATCCTTTAGCCTGAGATTATAATCCGTTCTCGTTGCCTGATCAAGCAAAATATCAAAGAGGCATTGGTTCAGAGCTTCTGATTCCGGATGACGCTGCAAACCACGTAATAAAAGGTCTTGAGCTCGCGAGACATTCTGTCGATGATATCCATATAGCCAAAGGGCTGCATCGACCCAAACGCTGCACTTATCCCCATGATACTGTGGGAATAAAAATGTCATTTAACATTTGTTTACAAAAAATGATCCGCCAGACTCACTGATAGCATCTTCTCGTAAATGGCAGACACCTCTTCGGGCTTTGATATCTTCATATACTTCACAAAGCTGCTCCAAAGATGCATGTCATGTGGAAATTTCGACAATGCCTCGCGATATAGACGTATTAACCGTGTAGCTATCGCAGATTTCACACCAGGCATTTTAATGTTGCATACCTTCTCCTTCTCAGTAATTAGCTTATATATTTTCTTTTCATAAACCAGAAATTCAATGTAGTTTTTCACCGAGGCTTTACTTTGGGATAGTCCCACGAATAGGGACTCGCGCTTTCTTATACATTCCCTATGGTTAAGAAATGAAATTTTTACTTGACTATCAGTGGCTTTGTTTTGGATAAAATATATTTACGTGATTTGCTGCGGCGTGAGAATATTACAATTTCGCAGCTGCTCATATTCCGGTAGAAGTCTCTCTTGCCTTTCATTGACAAACTCGCTCATTTTGAATTATAAGTTGTTTGGCTTTAATAATATGTCTCTGCCTCCGTTTGTTTTTAAACGCAAATTTCGGTCCAAAACGTGCAAAAGAACAGCACATGCCGTCACAGATGTTTCACACGGAGGGTGGCAGCACTGTCATGTTATCGGAACGGAAAATAATAACGCAAGGTTGCTCCGCCACCTATTGGCAGATCAACTCTGTTCTTTGCCTTTTTGCACTCAGTGTTCTTTTAACTCCTGCACAATAGTGTAGTCGAAAAAGGTAACAATAATAGACAGATAGAAGTAGCGAATGTGATAGAGAAAACAAAACGCGTAAAAACTCAAAACAGAACAAACAAATTCGAGCGAAATGGCCGAATTTTCAGTAGAGCGCGTCGAAGACAAACGTACCGTTAATGGACGAACAGAATACTATCTAAAGTGGAAGGGTTATCCACGCAGTGAAAACACTTGGGAGCCGGTGGAAAATCTCGATTGTCCAGATTTGATTGCCGCATTCGAAGAATCGCTGAAGAACAATAAAAAAGAGACTAAAAAAAGGTTATCGACATCGTCCACACCAGAGTCAATACGCAGCAAGCGTAAATCCTTTATGGAGGACGACGGCGGTGACGAGCAAAAGAAACTTATTGGCTTCGATCGGGGACTGGAGCCATCGAAAATCTTAGGTGCCACAGACTCATCGGGAGCTCTTATGTTTCTAATGAAATGGAAGGGCAGTGATCATGCCGACTTAGTGCCTGCCAAAGTGGCCAACGTCCGCTGTCCCCAGGTTGTTATACAATTCTACGAGGAGCGTCTAACCTGGCATACAGGCAATGGCAATGGAACTGGAGGCGATGAGAATGGTGTGGGCAGTAGTGGATGCGTTGGTGGCAGTTCCGGTGGTGGCCCAGTTGGCACACCCAATAGCTCAGGCAGTGGCAGTAATGCCGTGAGAAGTCCCAGCAGCGGCACCGGCAGCATCAATGACGAGAACGCGAAACCCGAACCCGGCAGTAATAATAGCAACGGCGAAGCCGCGGCTTAAATCTGCACATTTTGCAAAAATTAAAACCGGACGCCAGAAAATATTGGATATACATACATAGTATAGCAACATAACTAGCGCCTTCCACAATTGTGCAGACCTTGCATTCATATACACAGACCACATACATACATACATACATCCATTATTAATGCCAGAATAAGAAAAACAATAGCATTAAGTACACGCTCACACATACATATGTACACACATCCATACATATGCAAACAAACATAAAAAGTCTTCATTGTATCCTACCAATAGGAGGAACATTATGTATGGACATTTAGTTTTACTATTTTTCCTTAATTTAATTGTAAAGTACAATTAAAATTTTAATACAATAAACGAATCATGTACGACAAAATATTCAATTTTTTTTTAAGCTCAAAGATTCCAAAGTTGCCGTTTTATGCCATTTTCAGATTGTCATATGTATAGGTATATGTAAATACATACCAATGTTTGTGTGTATGTGCGTGGCGAATCCCCTTGATTTGTTGCGTTCCAAAATCTTGTTTATAGTCTATGCCTATCGCGAATGCAGCAATCGATATCTTACGCGATAACGCGCTATCGAAGGAAGAGGAGAATTATAGAGCCACACATTTGTAAATAATTTCGCACATTTTTGAATGAAAAATGGCCCAGGCTAGCTCTATGAAATTGTTGGGCTCTCGCAACATGAGTTGCATAGTGGAGCGAATGGAATGGAATAATAAAATGGATCTCATTGCGTATGGCACCGAAAAAGGTAAACCGGCACATTCGCGCCTGACCATTCAAATTCAACTACACTCATACGAATTGCATTTACAAAAACAGGCGAGGTAATCATACAACGTTTAAATTGGCAAAAGATTGTGACATTTCCCACGCCTGGCGAAGATGTGCGCGTGCGTTCCCTGAGCTGGCAAATGGACGAAACTCTATTAGCCGTTGGCTATAGCAATGGCAAGGTAGCTCTGCTCGATGCGGAGAGCGAGACTATCATATCGGGTTTGATTTACGAGGATGACATCAAGAAGGTATACTTTAGCAAGGCCATAACATGCAAGGATAATTTGTGGAGCTACAAATGCCATTCGCGGGACCGGCACAAACGTTTCCTGCCAAAGCTACAACCATTGACAAATATTGACCCCTGCCTGAAGACACTCGATCAGAAATCATTTCCCAAGGGCTCACCTTGCTTTCTGGTCGTGATTATGCGCAGTGGCAAAGTCCATTTACTGCTGTTGGGCGCTTTGCAGGCAGGCAGCATTGATCTCACCCAGCATGTGATGCATCCGGAACAATTTGATGTGTACGATGTGCGTTTAAATGGGGATTTTAATGCCATTTACGCGCTGCTCCGCGATGGTGAACAGCTGAAGGTGCTACATTTTCACAATCAGGTGCTGCAGGACAGCATGGAACCTATGCTGGAATTGGCCACATATTGTGCGCACATACTCGAAACGAAGAAGTGAGGCATTTCCTTTAAATATCCAAATATGTGATCATTAATCTCATATCATTACAGCTACATAAACGATACCCTACAGTGCATAACAGAGGCCTGGGAAACGGTGCAATTTGAAATGGACAACAAATTGACAAAGTATGCCAATTCTCAGGCATATGGCATGATTTCGGCACATTTTATGGAGCTGCACGTTTTCGGATTTGCCACACTCGATTTCGAGGAATTTCTGTATGAGTGCGTTGCCTTCTCCAATTGCCTGCCCAAATGCTCATTCCCTCTATCTCTATCTATCTATCTCTCTCTCTTCTTATTTATATATCGTGTTTCATGTAGCACCCTGACGGAGAAAGGTTTCAAGAAAATAGCCAACTCTGTGGATCTAAGTCTAAGCAACCTGCAGAGCCTGGTCTTTAAGCAGCTAAATGGCGCCGCAGTTCATATGTTCTACTTTATGAACACGATTTTGGGATTCGGACGCATCGCTCACTATTTTGAGGTAAGTGGGGAATAAAAAAAAACCAACTTAGTCTTTTCTTGATTATTTTGTTATAGAAATGCCCAATTAGTCTAGTTTCGAGAGGTTTTTAATCTAATAATTGTATTTAGTCTTATCTTACTTCTGTTGTATTAATCCCTTCATATATATTATAGTCCTTAATTGTGCCGGAGGTGGCAAACGATGCGATGCGCGCATGTGGCACATTCCTCATGAAAGTCCGCGAAATGCAGCGCCAAATTGATTCTCTAGTCAATGCCATGAAACTCTTCCACTCCTGGATGGTATTCACAATACTTCGGCTGTCACATCAGGAAATACCTGATGATATGGTATTCACCGAAGAGGAGAATGCACGACTGATTGAATTCTTTCATTGCATGGAACCGGACTCCAGCGACCAGGAAAGTAAGTTACATAAAGGCCATTCATAGTCATTGCTAATACATACTATCAATGTCTGCTTTTAACAACTATATTATTGATGGTCCAAAGCCAAAATAGCAGGTGGTGAAGGGAAGACGCTGAAGGCAAAATTTTAAAGAAACCATCAGATTATACTGATTATTTCTACATACCATGTATAGAACCATTAAATGCGGTCTACAAAGTAGTTACATATACATATGTATATACTTTTGTAAAGTTTCCAGGGTTTAGTTTTCAGTTAAAAATATATATTTAATCGAAGATCATTTCTTCATCTTAGTTATGACAGTTTGAATCAGTGTTTTTGAATATCTCCAACGCAAACATAAATAGCTAAATTTGTATGTACTATACATATATATAAATTCATTTAATCCTTTTTTATTCTGGCAAACTTTCTTTGCAGCGCCGCCCGCTAATGATGGGGAAAATGGTTCCACTATCAAGGTTACTCGCAGCAAATTTAACTTGGAACGCGTTGGTCAGTATCTGGAGAATGTCAATTTGACACAGCCCGAGGAAACTGAATGTTCGACGCTGTGGGATCAAATACTTCAGGAAAATGAATGCTTAAGAAATTCTCGATTGGTGGTGCCACAGGATATAGATTCATCGCTGATACAACAACGTGAGAAAATGTTCAATGCCATCGATGAAGTATTCCATAAGCCGACCGAAAGCATAAGCGGCAGCTTTAAGCTCAGCTCGTGCGTAATTATCGGAGACTTACCGGAATTTGCCGATGAGAACGATGATTTCGTTCACTGTACCTATTATGTGAACGAGAGCAGCGATCCGGATGCCAAATGTGATATGCTGGCCGTCACAGTGAGCTGGCAGGAGGTTGTCGTCCTAGAATTCAATCCCGAACGTTGCACATTGCGTTGCACAAGAATTCAATTGCAGCCAGGACCATTTACAATTCAATTACATGAGGACTATTACAATTTGCGCTTCGTTGATTTGCAATTCTATAATGAACAGTCGCTGTCGATGTTGGCACAGACAACGACGCCCACGCCTGGGGTGCGTCCTCACAGCTATTTTGTGCAATTCTCGCTGTCCTCATCACGCAATCAGAGCACATTTCATCGCCTCGGACCGCTCGTCAAGCTGATGGATACCACACTGACGCACAGCATTCACAACAATCCCGAGGGGGTATCTTTTAAGGGTCTGGATGGCGTTTGCGAAATGTTGGCCGTTTCGGGCAGTCGAAAAGTAGCCACCGTTCTCTCCGATCGCAAGCGTAAAATGACAATTTTCGAAATGGAAAACAACGATGATGAAGATGATGATACAGAAATGTCACAGGCGTCGTTCCTCGAAATTAGCAAAGAGTCTGTAATGGCCGGCGATACAGAGAAGAGCGAATCGTAAGGGGAATTGCAACTAAAAATGCAAACTTTTATGACCTATTGATAAAAAGAATCTCTAATTTGTAATTGTTAAATAGTTTAGTTAACTGAGACCTAGCATCTTTGTATATTAACTTAATTTAGAATATTGAAAAAATTCAATATTGAAAATACAGGAATGAATTGAATTAATGAGCGTTTCAAACTATACTTTCTAAGCCATCTTTAGAAAAAGTGATATGTCACCATAGCTTTCTAGATTTCCATTTACGAATGAATTTTTAAAATGTTTAAATATGTATTTTTTTAATCACTTACAAGGCGTTTTAAATTGATTAAATTATTATTTGTATTCTTTTCTTCCAGCATATAATGTATTTTAAAACCAGGACTTTAAACTGCAAACATGTGACTTAATACGTTGAAAGGGACTTTACTGCTAGATAATACCTTTAGAATATGTGTTCCCACTCATGAGTCTTCAAAATGGGAAAAATTGGCGCTTGTGGAGAATTCTCCACTGAGTTTCCATTTAACGTGAAATCATTTTTATTTATTTATTTTTAAATTAAAGGAGCTAAGTGCACAAAAATGTACGTTTGAAATTGTTTTGTTATTATTATTTTTTAATTATTTATTCATTCAAAATATAGTATTTGAAAACTGAGACTTTGTATATTACACTTAAGGTTTGTACACTACAGACAGGGAAAATAAATCAGAGACCTGAACCTGATCGGAAAACATTTTTTTCTTTCTTAAAAAAAAAAAACAAAGGAAATAGGGCTTGCCTTGGCGTGAAATCTTAATTCAATCTGACAGGGTTTTGACTAAAAACTTAAAAGTGTCGAGATCTTTTGGACAAAAAGTAGAAACAATATACTTTAAAAGCGTATAAAGTTAATACTGCCCCCAAAAGGACTGAGAGTTTTACAATAATTAAAAAGAAACGAAGTTTCCCCAAAAATATCTATAAAGCTATTTGCTGAAGTGCTCTAAAAAGTTGAGTTTTTGTGACAATAAATGAGACCATAGACCTTCAAGAATGTCCTAAAAATCGTTTAATACTATATTTTTTAAGTATGCAAAACACAAATGCCAAAAATATGTTCAGTTCAAAGCATCTTGAGATCATCTTGTGCAAATCCTAATCCAAGGTGTCGATATTGTTCGAACAAGTACAAATGGTTTGGGATCAGCAGAGCAGAGCATTCTACTGAGCTCTAAGGCAATGAACGCTGTGCAAATCAAACACTTCTCTAGAATTAGAGAATACATTTTACATTACAAATTACCATGTCCAAATTTTTTAATTTACGTTAAATTTTGAAGCACATTTAAAACAGCTACAAACTTATAGTATTAGGAAATGCCTCGAAGGAGGCAGTTTAATTTAAAAACAAAAACAAACCGATGAATAAACAGTTTATTCTTTACGTAGTAGTAGTGGCTAATCAGGGCTTCGCATTGGGCCCATGGGGGGACGGAAGTGGGGAACGTGTAAGCTAACTTATTTCATACTGATATGCATCATCCGAGTCTTCGCCGCTGGACAGATCCCGTTTGCGTCGACGTTTTTCGCGTTTGCTTAACTTTTTCGACGTTGGCGCCGCCTCGGGCTCAGGCTCGATCTCGGCCAACACCTCGACATCGGCACTGGCAACTGTTGGCTCGACTTGGGTTGGAGTGGCGTCTGTGCTTGCATTAGCCGACGCAGCCTCCAATTCAGCCTTCTTTTGTGACTTAACCAGTTCGCACAAATATTTGTACCGCACCAGACATTCCTCTTTTGTCTTTTCTGGCACACTGTTGGCAATCTTTTGCCAACGATCGCCACCACCAACCGTCTTACGATACTTAACAATGGCCGCCTCCAAAGCACGTTGCTGCTCCTGCGTCCAATTCGTTTCGGGTATGAGCATGCTCTTCTCACCCGTGCCGGCACCGGCCTCCTTTTTCAGCTTCTCCTTGCGCACAGTCTCTTGGGATTCCTGCACAATGTGCTCGGCCACACTTTCCGTCTGGCCGGGTATGCGATAGCCATTTTCCTTCATTTTGGCTGCCATAAATGTGACCTCCTGTACGGTTCGATTCATGGACTCGGCAATGGTGTTCCAACGACTGCCAGCACCGCCTGGATATTTCTTTACCAAGCGTATCAGCTCGGCTAGATCTTCATCGGTCCAAAAACCGCCACTAACAGTGCTCTGTAAAGCAAAATGGAACCGTGGTAAATTTTAATTTCAAAATGTTTAAGAGCCGTTATGGCTGACCTTCTGAGTAGCCGGACGCACAGCATCGTCTTCGGTCACCTCGCGAGCCTGTATCTGGGAATAGCCGCGCAGCTCTTCCTCCGTTTTTTCCGGCGCCTTAGTGTTTTGCTTTCGTTTACGCAAGTTCTCTTTGTGCTCCTTGCGCAAACGTGCCTGTTCCTCCACCTCCCTTTCGAGCTCCTCCTGCCGTCGGGCCGCCTCTAGTTCCCTGAAAGGCAATGCAACATAATTAGAAACACTACCAGAAATTTATACATTGTATTCACTCACTGTCTGCGTTTTTCCAAGGCCAGTTCCTTGAACTCATTTGCTTTACTGAAACCATTCATGATTGTCTTCGGCAGATTCCAGATGGCCAACGGTATTTGGAAGGGCAATGTATTGATGAGAGACGGCATTGGTATCTCACTAAGTATGACATCCATATCAATATTCTTGTTTTTCTTCTGTAGTTTCTTCAATTTGGTTCCGAAAACTTGCTCCGCGGTATATTTCTTTTCCAAATATGCCGCCCAGGCGAACAAATACTGTCCGACGGTGATAATGAGGAACAGTATGAAGGCGCCCTCATACAAACCAATTTTGCGCATGCGACGATAATAATACAATGCGGATTTCCAATTTGGCATTCCATCGCGCAAGACTTTGTCGTATTTCTCCCGCTTCGATGCATCCTTGAGCACTTCATAGATGGACACTAGATTACGGAACTGTATGTTCGCATCCTCCGATGGATTCTTATCCGGATGCAGCTGAATGGACAGTGTACGAAAAGCGCGTTTAATTTCATTGTTCGTGGCATTCTGGTTGATGTTCATAAACTCGTAGAAATTTTTATTAATTTCTTCGACAAGATCGAAAATTTCCAGCTCCTCCGAGTGCCAGGCTTCGGCTGTGTTGCAGAGCAACAGGCAGCCAAGCAGTATTGCTACTGTCCTGATATACATTGTTGACAATACCTTAAAATTCTTAAGCTAGTCAACAATTCCAACTGAAACTAAACGCGGCGTATTCCACACAAACACACACAATCTTGCAACCAGCTGCGACAACCACATACACACATGTCGCTGTCAACGTCAACGTCAAAAGTGGCAGCGTCAGCAATTAAAACTGTTTATAGTGCTACCACATGGCATGCAATTGCAGTGCTGTCAACCTTGTAGTGTTGCCATATTTGTTAACTAATAGGTAGCGCCAAGTTTTTAAAACTTAGATAATGAATTAAAATTAATAAATGTCTCGATTCTTTTAAGAAATTGTGCTAATGTATTTATTTTAGTGTTTTTGTTTTGCTTTTTCGATTATGTGTTTCAGGTAATTCATGCTTATTCTTGTCGTCATCCACGATTTATGCTTAGAGGTTCAATTGTTGGTGGACACCATGGTAGTAGTTCTGCTTCTGTGCCGCGGTGCGCTGACCGAATGGGCTCTTCTCGTTCACCTCGAGGATGTAGTCACCCTCCAGATCGAAATCAGCCTCAATACCCATGTAGGCACGTTTGCCAAAGCCATTGTTGTTCTTGTACTGCTTCAGCGAGTTGGCGGGAACAGCGGGGAAGTTACGCTCATATCCTGGACGGACAGATTCGGCAAAGTAACGGGTGGCACGTACAACAGCCTCAATCACATTCTTGGCACCGGGAACACCCTGGTTGGGTCCATTGGGATAGAAATCGACATCGCCGCTGCGCACTGGAGTGCCCATGCCGTAGGTGGAGGTGTGGATGGCATCGACGAATTCAGCATCGCCGCGAGAGAGACCGATCAAGGTATCGGGACGTTTGGCCAAAATCTTAGCGGGGTCCAGACCGGTGATGCGTCGCAGTTTCTGGCCTGTGTGGCTAGTGAATTCGTTGCCAGCGGCACCAGCAACATGGGCGGCAATACCCTGACCAATCAAATGAATAATCTGCTGTGGCACGTCAGCGTCCTTCACGAGCTCCACCAAAGTGTGACCAATCATTTCACCAGTAGTGGCTACATCCAACATGGCGTAACGCTTGAAGCTCGTCAAAGTGGCACCCAAATCGATAATCTACATGGAGGGGAAGGGTTTATTAAAAGGTTGCTGTCATGGGGAAAAGTTTACAAACTTACGATCAAATCGCCGCTGTTGGTCCTGGCCGATTTCCACTCATCAGCAGACTCCTCGCTGGATGTATAATCGTAGTCCTTGTATTTCTGTTGACGCTGCTCCTGGGTTTGAGAGCTCTTCTGCTGCTCCTGCAAGTTGTAGCGCTGCATATAGGCCTGTTCTAGCTTGCGCATAGCCTTCTTGATGGTGGGGGTCGTCTGGGGCAGACCAGTGAGCACAATGGTCACCTCATCATCGCCAAAGCCGGGCAGGGCACGTGCCTTCTCCACGTAATTGTTGAGCTTGGCCTCCACACTCTTGCCATTGGCTTTGACAATCCTGACGGGAATGTTGCTGGCACTGGGCACAAAGTTGGGTGTCAGATCGTGCTTGATGTGGGCCACGTGATAGATTTGGTCAACCATCTGAGCGCCTCGCTGCAGCGGTGTGTTCTCCAAACGTTCCCAGGTGATCTCATTCAGCGACGGCATATTCTCCAACTCGGAAGGGTTCAGCCATTGCGATGGCTTCAGCGAATCCTTCGAAGCAAGGGCCACTGCCAACAGGCAAGCCACCAAACACAGTCTCAAGCTCATGTTTAATATCAATCTACAAGGCGATGTTGTCCAAACGATTCCAAGCGACGTTTGATGTCGTTGCAATCGTCGCTCTCACCTTATATACCCACACTCTGAATGAAACAAATCTGCTGAGCAGCATTTTTCTTCTATCCACTGAGGGAGGAAGTCGGTGTCGGGTTTACATTCAATATATAGACCCATATTTTCGCTGAGCTGGCCAAGCACATGCCTTGCAAAATCTTGCTATGGAAACAAAACAGCACCTAAAATCTGTTTAAGTTTGCATGTGTTTGGCGACGTTGCGTCGTCGTTATCAAGAAATAAAAATTAATACAAAAAATATAAAAAGTAGGGCTCAACACCTTACCCTACTCGTGTAACTCAGCAGCGTCAGTCCCCAGGGGTCTATGAACCAGCAAACTGATTAGCCAGCGTTATGGCTAGAGTCCGAGATCCTGCAACAAAGTTGCAAGCCAAGCTAAATGTCCAATATTTATATATATAGTACTCGTACATATACATGGCTAAAAATGTAATTCAATACGATTAGGAACGACGATTTCTCGATTTTCGCGATATAGGTTCCAACGCTACTCAAGTTTCTAAAAAAGTTTAATATGTAATGCAAATTCTCTGCTTAAACGATGATATGAGAACTAAAATACAACAATATGTATCTGGGCTTGAGAAAATTTCATTAGTACATACTAGAAACTTTTAGTTCGTGAAACAAAAATTAAAATTCTATTCAAAAAAATGAGATCTTCAAATAAAATTTCCCGTAAACCCTAACGAAACTTATTGAACAATAGGAATTTGTGATTCGTAGGATTTTCCTATTACAAAAACAAAATTCATTATATAATGAAAGCAAGAGAAACTTTTACAGCCGAGCAAGCCCGACAACTTGTAGCTTTGGAATTGTGGACATTATTTATTGGGAGAAACAATAAAATAGAATAAGCCCTTGTTGCTTAGGAACTTGAAGTTTACATGCCAAGACGAACGAACATTTCTAGATCGTAGGTACAGGGTATGAAAAAAAAAACACTTCGTACTTTTTGAAAGATATTTACAAACATTTAATTGAGAAATTATGGTTCCAAAGGTTTCAATCATAGGAACACAATTAAGATTTAAACTTGAACTGGGCACATGGAAATACAAGTTTAAATTTGGGTTAAAAAGTAATAACAACATAGGGGCGAGAAAAATAAGTATTACCATGTATGTACTATGTATTTTTTTAGGTAATTCAACGTTTAATTTGTAATCATTTATTTCTTTCAAGGCCAATAATGGGTTTTCCAGGCACTCTTCAGAAAAGTATTACTTACAAAGATATATCCTAGAATATAAACACACTCGTATGCGCCCGTAAAACAGTCTCGAAGCGAAAGAGCTATTTGGAAATTTTCAAAAATAATTCATTAAATAATGATAATTATAAAATAAAGATCAACTAAAAATGAATGTGCCATACATAGATATATATTTGCGATTACCACCAGCAAGGCGGGGTCATCGAACTTAAACGTATACTTATGAATTCAGAAGAGCATTGTAACTTTAAGATATTTATTTAAATGTATATACATCGAAGTATTTTCTATCCTATTTATAAACTAAATTTATATAACACGCTTGTTGATATTTGTATAGCCAATGCCTACACAAGTCATGAGGACCTTTTGTGCGCCACGCACCTCATCGGCATCATCTTCATCCAGCTCGGGATTCTCCAGTTTGAATGTAATCGAAAAGAAGTCCCGTAAATGCTGAAGAAAATGTACCGTGTAGGTGGAAAGTGGACCAGTCACAAATTTGGAGACATGCTTCTGGCCAAGAGCCATGTAGAGCGCCACTAGCCACTGATAGGCGGAATCACAGCAACCACCGCGATAAATTTCATTAAGCAGAGACATTGCAGTCTCTCGTCCGAGATCCTCAGGAATTGATGGTGTTTCCTGTGAGTCGAGAAATAAAATCATTTAGGATAGAAAGGTAAATTGTTTTAAAAAATATTTTAGACACCCACCGCTTCACCTTGAATATTAGAATTGCATTCGGCGGCAAAACAAACACCATCTGTGGTCTCAGCAAGCAGGCAAATGCCAAATCCTGGAGAATTGCCGGACATTTTGCCACGATTCTGGTCCGTATAGATATACACATCGGGCAGAAATTTAAGCATGCAGCCCTTTGCAGCTTCAACGGTGCGATTTGCCATAGCCGGCGACACTTTGCAGGCATAAACAGTGCCACGTATACGCTTCACCATGCCCTGTTCTTGAAATTGTATGGCACGCAGACTCTTTCGTATCGGACAACGAAACACCACTTCGCCACCGCCTAGAGGTGCAACGCCACGGCGCACAACGCGCAGCTCCAGACCCTCATCAACGAGCAGAAAACGCTTAAGCACAGACAATGCTGCGCCCTTTATATGGTCCACGGATGGTGACTCTTTACTGTTGGTTACACCACGTAGTTGGCAGTGGAGTGGCATTTTACAGAACGGGCCCAACGCAATTAATGCATCTAAATAATAGCCAATTCCGCGTTGCACGCAACAATCATGTTGCAATTCACCACCGTGTAGTAGTCCCGGGCTAAACATGACGCTGGTGCCGGCTGCGTTTAGCTCAATTTTGGTGCCATTTGTGATCTTGTCTAGCAAACGTATAAAACTTATCTCAAACTCACGTAAACCAGGCGCCTCGTCGTCATCCGAACGTATTTGTGTTATTTTCACCGGTTTCCCGCTCAGACAGGAAAGCACGAGGCGCTGTTTCAGAAAATTGCTGCCTCGATAAATAAGGCAATTGCCTTCTTGTGTGATGGGCGGCATATTTTCAGAAATTAATAATTGAATGAAATTACTTAAACACACGTGCGACGTATGAAGTAAACAAATGCGTTTGCAAACAGCGTGGCAACGTCAACTATCAAGCAAAATCATGGCAACTACAGCTGGTAAACAACCGAGTGCTTTATCGACAGTATGGGTGGTTTTGAATTTTCGACACTATTAATGGTTTTTAATTCAAATTTGCGTGTTTGGTTTAGCTAAAATTATGAATTAGTCACACTAACAGTTTTTTGTAATACATCAGAAAGAATAATAAGGAGAGCTAGACAGATTATATATTTATTGATCAAATACTATTTGTGTTACCTGATCGCTTAAAATAAATTATGTTAAGTTAACATTATAAAATGATTTGAGTACTTCAAAGCATCGAAAAGATCGTTTTATTTATAGTTGTAGTGGTAGCGCCTGAGAAAATGTCAAAGCTGCCACATTTTCACAATAGAAGCCGTTAGATTATTATCTGATATCTTTTCTCTAAACTATTGCATTCGGCATTCGACAGTGGGTAGGCGGCTGTATGCGTTGTCCATCTTATTGTCCAAATTTAAATTTTCGACGAATTCAAATACCACGAATAGCGGTACTAACTCATCGATGGCTTCTGCTGTAAAAAGAACGGAGAATGACGATTATATTACATGTCCCTACGATAAAACACATTTATTGCGACCCAATCGCATAGCCATCCATTTGATTCGTTGCGCCCCCAACCATCCAACGGCCAAGATGGTGATCTGCCCATTTAATTCGTCACATGTGCTTTCTGTCTCGAAAATGGTGGTAAGTACGAAAACTCATGTACATACGTATGTATGTCTGGCTCAAAATTCCCTCTTTAAGGAACACGTTTCGACCTGTAAGTGGCGTTCAAACTTTGAATTGTTCATTCACCCAGACAAATTGCCTGCGGCTGAGCCTCTGCCACTTCAGTCATACGGTCATCTGTGCACCGAAGATTGGGATATTGATCCAGATGTCCCGACCTACGATCCAAAATTGCACTGCGAAAAGAATTTAATAATACGCAACATTCAAGGTGCGACACCATCCGTACGTCGCCAGTTCCGGAAAAATGAGCGAGAGCGCTTTACCGTAACTCCTTCTCAAACCCGTTCTACTGACAACTGTTTCCATCAGTTTAGCAATGACTTAAAAGATTTGGTGCAGAATATTGGTGGACACTATACTACCAAACGCCAAGGGCATTTGCCAAATCAATTTTCTAGTGTTGAGAACAACTTGCAGGAGCGTTTCGATCATATTTGCACTAAAAAGCGTTCTACTGGACGTCACTCAAATGGACATTCTGCTGATCAGCTATCCAGTGATAGTAATTCGATTGCGCAGTACTTTAACGATCCTGGCTGCACTAAAGACAATTTTTCTGAACAGTCTCATCATGATGAGCATTCTGATGGACGCCGTTTTCCGAAAGACTTTTTCGGACGGCTTTACAAAATGGAGTATTTTCCTAATCTTGTGAGTGATAATAATTCCATTGAGCAGGATAAGGGCGAACGGCGTTACACTGATGAGGGCTCCGCTAGAGAGCATGATCGCTGGAATCTCTTTAACGGAGTAGATCCACTTTCTCCTTACAAGGTATTTGATGGTTTGTAAAATTAATCATGAATACAAGTTACTAACAATTAGAGGATAGCGGAGAACAAACACCGGTACATAATTGTTAGTAACAATACAAAATACTTAAGTACTTAAATAATATTAAGCCAAAAATAATGAAATATTGGACAAATTAAAAAATTAATCATACTTAATTCAAACTAAGCCAAAAATTATGAAACATTGGACAAATTAAAATTAATCATACTTAATTGAAATTAAGCCAAAAATGATGAAACATTGGACAAATTAAAATTAATCATACTTAAATCAAATTAAGCCAAAAATGTTGAAACATTGGACAAATAAAAATCAATCATATATATTAAGTGCATACAAATAAAAAATAAAAGGTATTTTGTTAATATACATTGTTCATCCCGATTTTCTCTGCTGCCATTTAAAAAACGATACTGCGGTTATGCTCTAACGAGAGTGCTGCCCACTCGTATGTTATCGGGTGGTACGCGTGAATCTCGATATCACAACTTAACCCTTGGTTTGCCTGGAAAAGAATCGACACAGTCGCAATACATTTTTCATAGAGAACGGATGTGTTACGGATGAGCAAACCATTTTTTGAAAGCCTTTTAAAAAATTCGAAGTTAACTAGAACATCGCAAATCAACCAAGAAAATTAATATATAACACATGCACAAAGCTTTTTGAATGCATTTGTTGTCCAAATCGGCGTTGAGCGCCAATTATCAACCGATAAATCAGCATTTATAACACGCGGCACAGTTAAACAAAGAGGGAGCAGCAAAAGAAACTAAAAAGAAAAAAGCAGCGCGCTAAATGCACATAGCACAAGCGTACATACATACATAGTGCCCTACGTACCTATGTATGTATTGTAGGTTCCAGTTACGAAAATATAACAGAAAGAGAAGGGAAAGGCGACTGATTGACTGGGCCGACCGATTTGTGTGCGTGTATTTATGCCAGCGGCCAAATAGGAGGATACAATAAACTTTATAAAATCCACCTTGTCATAATTTTGATATTGAAAAAAACCGAGTGTTTACTTACATTAGTTTTGAGAGTTTCGGTGTGACAGAACAAAAATTACAACAAATATTGAACTAAACCAAAAATAAAAAAAAATTCCACATGCAAAATTAAACTGTTTTCGGTCCTTGCTAAATTCTGGTAACACACACACATATGTATAGGGCAAAACTAGAGCTGAAAGTTAAAGCGGTAAAAACGTAAAAATTAATAAAAACAAAAAAATAACAGAGCTTGCATTTTTTACAATCGGTTGCATTCGAACGAACACGGGAAAAACAGCAAAAGGAAGAAAAAAGGAAAAATTAGAACAAAACAAAAACCAAGCTGAAAAGTAAAACAACAGGCTTCGTCGCTACTGCATTTCGCAAACTTGTGCGTGCTTTTGTTGGTGTTAGTTATTTGTTGTTGTCGTCGTCGGTATCGTCGGCGACTGGTCGCTCCAACGCGCGCTGTATTTGCGCTTGTATGTGTGTGTAGGCGCAGCAGGAGCAAAAGAACAAGAAAAACAAGAGTTGCAGTAACAAACATATTGGACAAAAAAGACATACATATAGGTAAGTACGGGGGAATGTTGAAACTTCACTTTATTTAAAAAAAAAAAAACAATATGAACGTACTAAAGCAGATACTGGAATTTACCGGCGAAAACGCGGAAAAAACAATATAAAAAAGGTGTTTGGTGTACAGCGAAACAGCAACACAAAAAAAAAAACAGATGTTATAGGCACATACAGTCGTGCGTGTATGCACATACATACATACATATGCATATGCATATAACAAACATCCATACATGCATGAGCATATGTGTACGTTTGAGCGCATTAGACGTGGATGCATGCCGCATACATAGCATATATGTACATATGTATGTATGTATATTGGATTGGATCATTTAATTTGATGTCGCGCCCGTGACACGAAGCCATTCCCGTCTCCACTTCTTGAATATTTAGACATAAATACTTTTGTGCGTGTGTGTGTGTGTGTATGAACACGTAAGTATGTATGCGGCTTTTTGCAATGCTTGTCAAAAATAAAGTGCGTAGCTCCAGATTAATCTGGACATTATCATGTGGCAAATGTGATAACAAGAATAAGTTGGCGATATACATACATATGTACATATATGTATGTATGTATTTGTTGCCGTCTTTCAAACTTGTTTTTGTGTGCAAGTGCTTATCAATTGACGGGCCGCAACAACAACAGCCCTTAATTTTTTGGGTTTGTTTTGGCAACAATTCCAATTGGTTTCTTCGAAGTTGCTAGAAAAACGAACGAACGATGCGGCGCGACGTCTCGTCGTTTGGTCTGCTTTCCAAGGGCTGCGCGGTGCGTACGTGATCAATTCAGCCGGCAAGCACGCACACATAAGCGTTATACTTACACATACATACGTTGTTAATATACATACATATGTATGTATGCACAGTATATGGAAACGATAAACTCACAAACATTTAAGAAAAAACAAATGTATTTAGGGTGTAGTGGTGGGTGGGGAGCGCATAAATATTCATGCAACTTGTTTTGATTTTTTTCCCGGCTACTTCTAAAAGTAATACGAAAAAATTCCAGCCTATTCGATGCGTTTGCGGCGCTTCTTCTTTCGCCTGCGCCGAACCGCTGGTTTGTTTTTGTATTTTTCACCATTTCCACTTCATTCGGCCCCCAGCCGTCGCACACACACACACACTAACGTATGCATATGCATACATCCATATATGTATACGTATGTGTACGTACGTATGTATGTACATACAATGTAGATTATATACATACATATGTACATATGTATGGACACTTTTTTTTGGCTGCTTGTGTTGCTGCGGTGGCCATCTCTCTTGCTTACTTATAATTTTGCGACGCAATTCGCTTGGCGTCAGCATACATACATACAAGAATATACCCATACATGCATATATATGTACATAGCTACATGCATGCATTAGTACATATGCATGTATGTATAATTGCATCGTACGTGCGTATGTATGTATATCTTGTATTGTTATTTTTATCTCAACTGCATTATTATTGTGTATATTTCGGCTCATGACAAGCCTTCGTCCAGGTGGCAACGCTTAAATCAGGCGCCACAGCCACCCACGTACGCACGCACAGTGGCCGCCAATGCTGACAACAAGTGCTAGTCGCATAAAATAAGAAGGGGAGCAGAAAAGAAAGAGCACAAAACAAAAACAATAACATAGAATTTGTAACGACGCATAAACCGAAAGAAACTTTTCAAGGTTAAACCGGGCATAACAAACAAAAAAACCGGTTAAAGCATACACCGATAAATGCATGTGTATGTATGTTATGTATTCACATAAACAGACACGCCATAATTGTAAGCAATATATGTACATACATATGTACGTACATAAAAAGGTACATATATGTATGTACATACATATATGTATGTAATTTACTTAGTTTAAATGTCAATACGAATCTTAAGATTGAAAGTAGAAGCAAACTTATTAGCTCGGAAGTGATATAAATAAATAATACATCCATACATGGGCAAACATTACATATTGGGGTATCAATTCCTTTAACGTTATTCCCACTGGAGAAATATTAAGACTGATTGGAAGGCGGCACTGCTGAGAAAGTTGAAAGTTTTAATTAATTATAATTATTTGCCTGTATTGTATGTAAATTGTATTATTACCTTGGCAATACATACATACATATGAATGTATGTATGCACATAGTTTTTTGGAAATACAAACATGCATATTTACATACAAGCATATAAGAAAGCAGTACTGCTGCGTAAGGTACAACATTATGTGAGCAGGTTCTGGCATGGGTCCCTGGGGTTTTATACCTTCCATGTTATTTTTGACGATGTCGTTGCTGTTCCTGCATACATACATATGTATGTATGTATTTACATATGTACATATAATCTTGTTATGCACATACATACATACATATGTATGTATGTATTTACATATGTACATATAATCTTGTTATGCACATACATACATACATATGTATGTATTTGAAATGAGGGTTGTTAGCTCTGCGCCGGTGTTTGTGTATTTATTGACGCATGACCTTGAATTTTCCATGAAAGGGAGTTCTAATACAAACATACGTACTGTACATATACACGCCCACTGCTAAAAAGTAAGACGCAATACCGTTATTTGCTGGGATGTGAGTTGTGGTGTCTACAAACGCTGCCCTGCCTGATTAACGAAACTCAATAAACACAGTGCGAAAACAACGAAAATCATACTTATTGGCCGGCTTGGTTTTATGTTCATATTACGATGAGAGAGATCTAAGGAACCCAGTTTCAAAATGTATTATTTTCAAACATTTTTAATTGAACCGAGCGAATTTTTGGGTAACCTATGCAAAGCACATCTAAAATTGTTCCTATTGCCGAACCGATGAAACTATACAAAATCGGAAATGAAATCAAATAACTTAATTGCGAAATCGAAATTTGCATCATTTAAACAAATAAGGAAACGGAATTGGGATTGACCATTTTGCTGACTCCAACAAGAATCTGTTGAATGATTGATTAATCAGATCTTGGCTAAAAACTTCATTTGCAGGGCTAATCTAAACAATGTTATGAGAGACTAAATAAGACTAAAAAAGTTTTAAATATACAATTCTTAAATCAGGTCACCATATCACAAATATTTTGTGATTGCATCACATTTTTCAAAATTCGGAATAAAGAGTAGTCAGTCGAACAAACCAAAACAAAAAAAACATTGATTCTATTTTTCAACCGACTCTTTTTTTTGTATACCTGTGGTAGAAAATTATGATAATGTTAATAAAGTTGTCACTTCGAAAACTTTTAAAGTTTGTTTTTGTGTAAGGCATATAACAGGCAGAAGGAAGCATCTCTCCCCGCAACTCTGCTGAAAATATTTTTGCGTTCATTCATTCTTGCTTTATGCTGTAATTGTTACGAGATCCTGGAACTTTCCTTGCAACCCTCAAACAAGATGAGGCAGACAGCTGCATTTCTTTACATACATATGTATGTATGTATGTCTATATTCAGAAATGTTCTGTTGTAAGTCTTTCAATGGTATTTATATTTACTTATAAATTATGTATTATACATACATATCATTTGAAATTGTTCCTGCAATTTAATGCTCATATGTATGTTTGCACTTATTTTTTGTTTGTTTATGTAAATATGAGTGTTTATTAATTAGAAGTTCAATTTGTTTTTTATTATTCAATCAAGTGTGTTTACTTGTTCGTGCTCATATACTCGTATATACATACATACATATACGATGTATGATGGTGTGTCTGCCTTTAAATATATGCGCATATTTTCTACTCAAAAAAATGTTTACTTATTTATAGTTTTACATGAACGAACGCCGTTTGGGGTCCGTTCGTTCCCGGTCGGTCCGTCCGTCCGTCCGTTCAACAATAAAAGCAACAAAATCGCCAACAACAAGAACAAGGCCAGCAGCAACATTGTTGTAAACACAGACGGCGACTCGACACTACGTGCCAACAAACATCTCGTCGATATCTCCCTATGGGGCGCGGGGAGCTGTCCTATAGATAGAGAGAGGTGTCGGTGTCGGGTGATTGCTGACGGGTCGGTTTGGTTCAGTCGTTATCTAATCCCCGCAGTTGTAAAAAAAAAAAACAGATACAACCGTACATATAACTTTTAAATTAGCCAGGTCGGTTATACCTGATGAGCGATAAAAAAAAGCTTCAACAAGCTTAAACATACAGGAATACAAATATACCTTATTTTAACAAAATCAAAGCTGAGCTTATTGCCTAAATTTTACATTAACTTTCCAGTTTGGGGAACCTTCTTAAAAAGAAACCGAGTAGTACAATTTTACAAATCAGGTATCAGATCATTTTTCTGTTTAAATTAATAAAGGCGTAAAGATGAATTGTTACATAAATTAATAAATTCATAAATAATTTCAATACAACACAATTTATAATAAAAAAGCAAGAGCATTAGGAAATTGGTAACTATCGGGAGTTAATGTTCTATTCATAGAAGTATATTGAAAGTATAAGTATTAGATCTGTGGCGCAGGTGGTTAGACTAGACAAGTGGGGAAAAATGGCAACGAATGCAACCAAACGTTTCCGCAAATAAAAACTATTTTCAAATACTTAATGCATCGCCTAACAGCATAAGGGCTTGACACTAAATACATTTAAGTTTAATAATAATTATGTGCGCTCTCCTCTGCGCGTCTCAAACGCAGCACTTACAACAAGTTGATAGCTTACAATTGCTTGCCCCATTATATTATTTGTTCGATGAAGAAAAACTTGTTGCTTTTATGTAGTATTTACTGTACTGGCTCGTCAGTGGGGGCGTCAGTTACGCTGTCTAGACATAAGCCGGCACAGACACAACAGTATATGATGTTTATACAAAGTTATGATTAACATATGGTTCTTATTTGCTTATTTGTCTTGCAGTTCAAAATCGAAGACAATTGCAAAGGGGTAGTACCTGGTGCGAGAGTACAACAACAACAACAACAACGACAGGAAACAAAGTAGATACCTCTAGACCCTAAACCCCAACTGCCAGTGTCGTCTTGCATTCCATAGTCCTCCAATCCACTCGCCACTTTTTCACGAGCAGTTGCAGGAAAAGCAATCAATAGGGTACCACCTCAGCGGAAGTACTAGTAGAAGAAGAAGAGTGGAAATGGAGCTTGAAACGAACAGAAACAATCATGCGAATGGCCATTATGTAAACGATGGCACCGATTCGAAGGAGAGTTCGGTTGAGCGTGAACTGAATGGTGAGATTGAGGCAGTGGAGCTAAATGGCGGTCACGGATGTCCCAAATTGAATGGGCATGGACACATCAAGAAGCCGCTGCCAGTGGGCGATGGTCACGATGGGCGTATTAAGCGCAAGGCCAAACGTCTAATACAAAGACAAAACAGTCGTGGTGAGAGCAATGGAAGCAGTTCCGCTTCGCTAAACGAATCCACGAGCAGTGGGGCCAGCAGCAGCAGCTTTAACAATGCAGCAGCAGGAGCAGCTGCTGCAGCTGGTGGAGCCCTGGCAATGGGCATAATACCCGCCACGACCAGTTATGTGGTACCTCATCGTCGCTGGAAGAATAGTCGCCGATCCCGCACGACCAGGGGTCGTGGTCTGCCCAAGAAAGGAGGCGCTGGCGGCAAAGGCGTGTGGGGATTACCCGGCTCTGAGGCACTGGCCGAGGTCTACGAGGATGAGAACGATCCCAATTATGACAGTGAGTGCAATGATCGGAACGTGGAGTTGCGTGAGGTCATTACGGAAATCACGCCCGAGGAGTTCTTCAAACTGGCCGAACCCATTGTCCATGAGTATTATGAGCATGGCGATACGCACGAGGTGGCTGTTAGCTTCGATGAGATCCTGCAGGGACCGCTGCGAGAACACATCACCAGTATTCTTGTGGAGATCGCCATGGACCATAAGGACTCTCAGCGTGAGATGACCTCGGTGCTCATTTCGGATCTCTATGGTCGGGTTATCACCGGTAAGGATATCGAGAAGGGCTTCAACATGCTGTTGGCAAACCTACCCGATCTTATACTCGACACACCCGAGGCACCATCCATGTTGGGCAATTTTATTGCCCGAGCCGTCGCCGACGATTGCATCCCGCCGAAGTTCGTCACCAAGCCGGAGGAGCATCGTGAGCTGAACGAGTATGCCGAGATAGCTTTGCGTCGTGCCGACACATTGTTGCACATCAAGCAGGGTTGGGCGCATCTCGATAATGTCTGGGGCATGGGTGGACCGCTGAGACCGGTGAAGACCATTACCAAGCAGATGACGCTGTTGCTCAAAGAGTATCTGTCGTCGCGTGACTTGGCCGAGGCACAGCATTGCCTGCGCGCCCTCGAGGTGCCCCACTATCATCATGAGCTTGTCTATGAGGCGATTGTTATGACTCTCGAATCGTTGAGCCAGACCACCGAGGAAGCTATGTGCGAGCTGCTCAAATCGTTGGATCAATCATGTTTAGTCTTACCAGCTGGCATGGAGCAGGTAAAAAACATTCCCAATATCTAATCTATTTGTATCTCTATCAAAAAATTCGAAAGTTATTTTACTGAATATATTTTTGTTGTTGTTTGTTTATAGGGATTTAAACGCGTCTTCGACGACATGGCCGATATTGTGCTGGATGTGCCATTGGCTTACATAATACTCGATCGTTTTGTAGAACGTTGTAATCGCGCTGGCTTCCTAACCGATAAAATCATCAACAATATGCCATCACGGTAAGTTTTAGTTTTGAATATACTCGTATTTATAAAAGAGATAAACAGGCTCTTTATTACCCCAATATGTACATATATAGTTATATTTTTAATTTTATATTCTAATTTTAGAGAAGTTTCAGCTTGTGGTATTCAAATATTTGAAACCATTTTAAAATAGGTTAAATAGAAATTAATTATCGATTTTATTTGAACAATTTTAGGTTTTGAATAGAAGTTATGTATTTTAGATTATTCTGATGCATTACTTATCTTTTATAGTGAGTAAATCGTTCAAATTTGTGACTCTATTTCCTAATTCAATGTATTGTTAAATATTCCGAGAAAATCCAAAAACGGTATCAAGTAACTGAATCTCGACTGTAGTATTTTCTTGGTTATAAAAACCTTTCTAAGAGTATTATAATAATAATTTAAAATAGTAAGTGACCTACTCTATCTTTCAATTGAAATAATTAATTAGCTGCAGATGCAATAAATGCTGTCAGCAATATTTGAGCCACAGACAAACGTAACTCTCAAGACGTTCAATAATAATGCTCTTGTTGATGAGTAGAGAGGCGGTTGTCTATTTTATTTCAAAAGTGTCGTGGGGCCTAAATTTGAAGCAAGGCCAGATCCCTTATAACAAGCAGTAGATATGAAAGGCAATTCCATCAACATTTTATCATTACATTTATATTTGCTTTCACTTATGCAATCGTTTGGACAATTGACTGATAAGCTCGAACAATGTTTCCGTCCTACTCTCCTTCATGTGGCTTTTTCACACCCACCCATTTCGATATAGACAAGCCCACCTGTAAATAATGACCATAACACAATAACAACAACAACAGCAACGTCAGCTTTTACGTAATTCGCGTAGCTATGGTCTCGCAAAACAAGAATAACAACAACAACAACTAGTAATACTAGCCCCCCTTGTTCTGGTTATTGTTGTTGTTTAGCTTGCTTTGGCTCTGTCATGTGTAAACATATACGAGTATGTACATAAATATGTAAATCTTTGTGTGTATAGTTTTTTCAGTATGTGTGTGTTTATATATGTATGTATCTACATACATACATTTATACAATTGTATGGGCCTCCACGCACACTCGCTCAGCTTTTGCCGGCATTTTAGCTTTAACTTGTTTTTTTTTTTTATTATTATTGTGTGTCTGCCTTTGCTTTTTCTGTTTTGGTTTTCGCTTGCGTTTTGTTTTTCGCTTACGTTTTGTTTTTTCTTCTACAATTTTTTATTTATGTGTTGTGCTGTTTGGTATGTATGTATGTATATATGCATACAGACCCGTATGTACATACATATGTACACATATAATATGTAATTTTTATGAGTATGTGTGCATGTTTGTTTATAAAATTTCTATTGCGCAGTTTGGTTTTTGCGCTGACGTTGGGGCAGTCGCCGCCGATGATTTCAGTAACTTTGTTGTGCCGGTTTATCAGGTGCCGGCCGCTTTTTGTTGTTTATTTATAGTTTCTTTTGTTTGTTGATTTGTTTCCTAATCGCTAGCAAACTACAATAATATTCTATGTACATACATACATATGTACATATATGTATGTAATATTGAACAATAATATGTACAAATATATTATCAATGTACGTTACGTATCCATACAAAATACAAGCCTGTGTGTAAGCCTGGTACATATGAACGTAAATACATACATACATATGTATATACATATATGTATTTTCCTTTAATACCGTATGGTAGTATGTACAGGCATATGTAGTATGTTTGTACATATATATGTACATACAATAGAGCACCGTAGTCTATCTGGGCCGCGCACTATCTTATCGGCGTTTTACCCATCGTAGCGCAGTATGTGTGTGTGTATGTTTGTGTTTAACTTTAAGCGCAACAAACTTCATGCTTTGGTGCAACAACCTGCATGTATTTCAAGATCGTTGTTGTTATTGCTGTTGCATTGCAATCGAAGGTAAACATGTTGGCGCTGCTATCGACCTGACAGGGCTGGCACACCCACTCGCCCCTTTCGCTCATTTGTCTAGTGTTGCCAGCTAGTTGTAATACAGTCTTTTATTATTGCCGTCATAGTCGTAGCCGTTATTGTTGTTGTTATAGTTATAAGTGCAGTGCATTTGCATTCGCATTCGCCTTGACTACGGCTATTGCTCTTTGGCACTTCAGTAGACTTACACGAGCGCGCACACTCACCAGCGGCAACAACAACCACAACTATGTGCATACTAACATGTATATATATATATATGTATATATAATATATCTATATATACATACATATATGCATGTGTATGTGTATTCATATATGGATCTCAATACACAAACAAACACCAGCAAATGCTTGGCGCCTCTGCCACCAATGTTAGCCGCGACGTCAACGTTTTTGCGGCCGCCAGTCTGTTTTTATTTTATTTTATGCACTACAACACAACAACAAAAACAACGGCATAAACAGCACTTGCATTTTGCAATTTAATTTTACTTGTTTCTCTATTTATATGCACAATTAACGCTTTTTATGTTGATGTAGGTTAGAATTTGAAGAGCTGCAAACGCGAATGCGATAAACTATGGCATTTTTTCGTTTTATTTTAGCCAGCCTAGAGTGATTTTCTTGAATAAAAGATATTTAATTAAAATTTTGGTGAAAATAGAGAGTACCTTAGCTGAAAGCAAAGCAGATTTGTAATTATTCCAAGAAAACTTTCAATTCATTACTTATTAATTTGTTTTTAAAATTAACTATCAGGTCTGCTAAATGAGAACAGCTGATTTGGAGAAGAGATTTAAATTCATGCTTATTATATCATTATATTTTTAAAGCTGCCCAAAAATGTAAGCAAGTAATGTGGCCGTTTTTTTTTTTAAAGAGTATAACCCAAGAAACTAGTTTTTGTAGCAACATCGGTTTGGCTGCAGCTTGCTTCGCCCCCCAGGTCCCGCCCACCAATCGTCTGCCTGTAGTCGACTGCTTCTTGTTGTCTTTGTTGTTGTAGTAGTGGTAGTTGTTGTTTTTGTCGCCATTGCAACTGCAGCGGCTATGGCTGCTGCGGCTGTGCACGCGCAAACAAAAAAGGGTCACCAGTTGAATGAACTTTTGTGCAAATTCGAAAAACGCGCCATGATTTTTTGTTGTCGTACGTATTTTGTTTTATACGTATACATGTATTTTTTGTATGCCGCTTGCTGCTGCCAAATATGTATGTAAACAGCAGCAGCAAGTGGCAGACACAAACATTTGGCATGTTGCATAATCTGCTTGCGGCAATGTTGCACTTGTTTGTTTGAGAATGCGTTTTAATTTAAAAAATGCTTCCCTATTATCTATTCGAAAAGAGTGAAATGGCATTTTAAATTTAGATTCGGTCGTCTAGTTATATATTTTTCATTTATATAATTCAGATTTAAATAACATTTCAATTCGGTATTCTGGGACAGTAATTGATCATCAAAATTGATTTCGAATTATTTTCCATGAAGATCATGAAGATTTTATGTACTAATTCTTTTGCAATCGTTTGCCACTTCTTCAGGCGTGAAAGAAATGTTTTTGTATATACATACATATATGACACCAAAAATTGGTCATTGGCTGCCAAGTCAGGACTGTAAGTCGAAAACTGCTTGGCTATTTGCCTTCAGACTTGACCGTCCTACGTTATTCGAAAGACACAGTCGCAACATGAGAAATTTTTCCAAAGACAAGGGCAATTTTGGCTCGTCTTGGCAGACCAGATCCATATTATCGACTGCTGCTACCTTAAGAACTAAAGACAGATTGATTAACTTCTGTTGAAGGCTTTTATAAAAAATTTGTTTGATTATAAAAAGCTAAGTAAACTAATTTAAATAGGTAAAATTGTTTAGCATATAGCGCTTGAAAGTATGCTATCGCCTTTAGTTAATCACCAATCTCTCTCTCTTTCTTTTTAGTGGTCGCAAGCGCTTCGTGTCGGAGGGAGATGGCGGACACATTAAGCCGGCTACTTTGCCGATGCGCGATTAGGCGGCAAGTGGGCAACAAAATCAGCAGCAGCAACAACAACATTAAAAGCAACAAGCCGCCTACCCAGAAAAAAACTGGGGCAGGCTTTTTGAGGCTCAGACTCAACAAAATACGCGCACCCACAATTTATATGAAAAGCCAAATTAAATGCCAGTCGAGGAAGCAAAAGCAATGCCAACAAAAACATGAACAACAAGTCATATACAAATGTATTGGAGTAAAAATAATTATGCGAATAATTTGTTGTGTAAATGCGAAAATTTTACAATTTATGGTTCAATCGTAGGATGTTGATTTTTTGACAGAAGAAACGAAAAGCTGACAACGACGAACAGCAAGGCAAGACATCATCAAATACAAAAAACACCAACAATAACCACAAAAAAAATAAAAAACAAAACAATCGGAAATTGATCTCCGTTTAAACTATATTCATAATATAATACATATACTATATATAAACGTAAATACATATATTTTAAATATTTGTAAAAAACAACCACAAACCACAACCAGGCAAAGAAAATATGGCCAGCAAGAAGTAAAAAAAAAGAAAGCACAGTGCTGTGCATGTGGCCAATTATATACATAGCATACATATGTACATAACGTACTTACATATATGCATATGTAAACGCTGCTACGATACGGGAAGAACGAATTTGGAGAACAAGATTCAAGAATGGCATAAGTTTTTGAAATTGAATATGAAGCATTAAAAGGAACAACAACGACAAGAAGGCTAACAACACCAACAAAACAACCGCAATACGAAACTGAGCAGGTGGAGTAAAAAAAGACAGCGGATGCTGTTGTTTGTGCAAGCAAGGTATGCAACTGTGCTACACAAATAGCAACAATATCGTCAGCAAGAGAAAAACACAAACAACAAATAGCTGATTATGCCACAACTGAAAAGGAGAGGAAAAACGAACAGCAGAGCATATTTTATGGGAAAAAGTAAAACTGTTATACCCACACATCCACAACAAATACATAACACACCCACACACACACACAAACAGTCACATACAGACAGCAATCAAGAAGAAGCCGTTATTACTAGACATACTACACACATACATACATACATAAAATACATAACTACCAATTTATGAATATAATAATTAAGCTTAAGCATCCATTATTATATTATGAATATAATTATGATAACTACTACATACATAAATAACATTGGCAACGTGCATGCAAAGCAACAGTAACTACACACTTAACTAAATGCCCACAATCATAGCTCATACATAATACATACATACCGATATACAGACATGCTTAACTGTTATACAAACATACAAAGTTGTGTATGCCACTCGAAATTCTTCACATTACTACTGCTCTATAAACAATATATTATATTATTAGCAAGAAACAAAATGAGAGCACCAGGTCCTCGCACACGCCCACTTAATTTTTCCACAAACAAAAAAAAACACAAAAATTAATTTCTATTTTGTAAACACACAAAATTTGTCGTTCGATTATGAAACAATGATTTGAGAGAATAAAATTAAGCATAAAATTGTTATAAAGATGTTGAAGAGGGAATCGATTAATGTATATCATCATTTTTTTTTTATATACATACCAACTACATATATATTGTATGATCTATAGTGTTTTTTTTTTTATTATTTGTGAGAAGACTAATGTTGATAAAGTATACACACATTTATGTTTATTTCTTACACACTTCATACTCTGAATTAGGCATCATTTACTTTATGCGCATTTTATAATATTGTAAGCTTTAAGAAACAACCATTTCTTTTTGTATTGTATTCTTAACAATCGTTTGATTTCCTGGCACCCCAATATACTACTTATATAACAGTTTCAATGCAAAGGCTTCAAGTTTTACTAAAATAAAACAGATCTTAAGAAAATAAAAGTAAATGCAAAATTAGACTTTAATTGTAATTCTTTATATTCAACAATTTGTTTCGATTTGTACGCTTCCCTATGTTCACAGCAGCAAAAAAAAAAAAGAGAAAAAACATGAAAAATGAATATTTCGAATTTTTTCACTTGCCAAAACAACTGTACTTTTTAACTTTTTGGCTAACAAATAACTAATATTAAGCAACAACAAAAAAATTGCAAAATAGATGTGTGAGAAAACATGCATTATACATACACAAAATATGAGATACCTACATTGTGTTAAAAATATACATACATATATTAAAAAATAAAACTAAAACCACCACGTATTTTCCTTTAATTTGGGATATTCATCTTGTTGACTCTACATACGGGTGGGGAGGCGGGAACATTTCGAGCCAAATCAAATTCTTCGAACTTAAGCAGTTTCTCGGATGCAAACCTCCTCCTCATATCTTCTCTAGACATGGGATCGTTCATTTTTTTTTCTGTTTTTTTCTGTATTTTCTTAAACCTTAACACTTCGTGACCACAAAAAGGAAGGAACATCGTTACAATTTGGCGCAGATATAAAGCTTTTTCCACCATAGTTTTCTGTTAGAATCAGTTTCGACTTCCCATTTTCAGCATTTTAAAAAATATATTTTCTTGAAATAGATGCAGACTTTCCAACATTTGACTTTACCGGCGCAGAATCATTATATTTTTATCAGAATTATATAAATCCCCATCGTTGATAACACACTTTAAAATGTTTTATGTAATCCATAGTTGAAACGCCTTAGAAGCCAGGGAAAGCCGTAGTCTCTACTTGCTGGGCATGAGAAAAATTCCCTTTCCTCGAGTCGAATGTAGTTTTGGGATAACAAAAATCAATTTATAAAGACTTGATTTCACAAACAATTTCATTAACAACATAAAACCATATTTAAAATATAATTAACTATATAATATTTATAATTAAACTATGTAACAAAATGAAAGAAATGAATGAAAAAAATGTATAAAACACGATGTAAACGTATGTATTTGCGTTCGAGTGGGATTTCATGGCTTGAAACTCGGATCGGCAGGATAAATTTCCATGAAATATGGTTACAAAAATTAATGTAAAGGTTTTCGACTATAATGGTAATGGTTATTTGAACAGTTTCAAACACAAGCTTTAAAGAGTTTTTTCAAAATAAAAAATATTCTAAAATTTGCTTTAAATGAAAATTAAACAAAAAAGGTAATATTTTGTACCTACAATTTTTAGTTTTGAATAGTTCTTTTCAAAATAAGAGTTACCGACATTTGATTGTCGTTTAAATGGAAATAAAGCTAAAAAGTTATAAACCTATGTAAGTGATTTGACTTCAAAAGACATATAATTTTGTTTCGGAACTAATTCATAACAAAACTACCTCGAATAAAAAGAGTTGTAACATTTGAGTTATAATATATTTACGTTTAATAATAATATAGTCTTATATTTATAAATTTTGTGCCCGATTATGAATCGGAACATTTTCATTTCACAATATTTTCCCGATAATACGTTCACACACACAAAGTTTATATAATATGTAGAGCTTGATGTTTGAAAAATAAAAATATTTACATATATATTTACATATTATATTATATTATATTATATATATATGTAGTATATATATATATATATATATATATATATATATATATATATATATATATATATATATATATATATATATATATAGCCAGCAAAAATGGGTTACGCTGTTTTGTTTTCAGTTCTGTGGTAAGGGAAAGATAAGTTCGCAATTACGTTTTTAATGTCGGATTTCATTAGTTATAATAATAACATATAGTGTTTTCAACGAACGACTAAATTGCCAAATTGTTTCTATATCTCTATCTCTGTAGCTGACAGGGCAGCACTACTAAACTACATATTTGGCGTCTGCAAGGACCCCTATCTTTTGGGCGGCTTCTTTTCATTTACAATTTATGTGGCTATTTACAATATGTATTACTTTTCTTATTTTTAAACATATATAAGCCATTCAAAATGTTTTCATACAAATTATCGTTCTTTAGCACTTTACACAAAGGTTGCACTATTTGAGAAATTATGTAAAAGAAATAGAATAAATTAAACAATTTGCGAGTTTTGTGGTTGATCTGGAGATGTGGCTGGCGCCATTACCTCATGCTATGTGGCATCTGGCGGCTCCAGCTTCACCTCACATCAAGCACGCCCCATGCCGGCGCCGCCCACAGACGATGGCTGCATACCCATAACCACAGGTCCACCGACACCGCCGCCACCTGTGCCGCCCATAGCGGTATGCATTTGGACGTGCTTGCGATAGTTGGTGAAATGTTCCAAATACTGCTTGACTGTGTCCATGGGCTCGTAGATGTCGTTCTGTTTGGGATGCACTTGCTGCTGACCCATGGCGTTAATGATGGTCTGCGTGGTAAAGTAGCTGGGATACTCCTTGGCTACATTGATGCCGAGAAACCCTTGCAACATTTCACGTATCATTTCCCAGCAATAGGAGAGCATCACACAAGGCCGATACTCAATCTCGATAAGTATGCCCTTGAAGTGCTCCATCATGGTAACGGAACCGAGTTTGATGACAAAGTCTCCGTATTCGAAACGGGCGCCACGCGATTCTATTTTAGTCTGTTTCTTTGATGTGAATGTGGCTGTCATCTTAAGCATCAGCAGATCGAAAATGTTATCGGCCACCAGGGAGACTTGCTTGCCCGTTCCGTTGTCAATCATGGAGAATGTGGATGCGGGATATTCGGAGTTGTGCAGCACATGTACCGCACGGGTCGGTGCTCCATGTTGTGGTGTTGAAATAAAAGTTTCGCAGTCCACAAGGAATTGACCGGCGTGTGTAGCTCCCAGCGAGAGCAGACGTTTGCCGAGAAGGTCAATAATGTGGGCACCGGATTTGCCATCGGGCAGTGGGTAGGGTTGGAGTACAGTGACGCCCATGTTACCGCTTCAATAACTTGTATGCTTACCTAGTCGTTTATTGTTAAGAAGACTTTAATATGCGTCTAGGAAAAGAATCAACAGCGAAGCGATAAATGATAACAATGTCGGCGTTGCCACTAACAATCAAATAAATATTTAAAAAATTGTGTATAATTTGCACTTGTCAAAATAAACCTTGTAAATGAATTTAATTTTATTCATAAAAATTCTGTTTATTGGAAGACAACAATAGTTACATTTGATTGAATTTTGATTTATTTAAGCCAAACGATAGAAACTCAGATCAGCTGGTCTACAGTACTACCCTAAGAAATTGAAGCTGCCACTTCGTTAAAATTTTGTGAATATTAAACGTGTGTGTTGGTGCGTGTGCGTGTGTGTGTGCGTTTGGGGTTCTTGCTGTTGTGTTTGGGTTCACCGAGGAGGAAGAACCACTGTGGGGCATAAGAAGCAGCATGTCAGAGAAACGGAAATATAAGAAATCGGTAAATAATTAGCACATTAGATGTGTAATTTATTCAAAACTGCGCTATTTTTGTAGAAAGAGGAAATCGCCCGTGAATTCGATTTGCCTGAGCGTAAATCGAAAATAGCAACAATACTCAAGCAGGATGATCAGGCCTATTGTATATGTCGCACCTCGGACTGCTCGAGGTTTATGATGTGAGTAAACCCACCAGCTGATCAGCTGGATGTAAACATAATTGTTGTTGCATTTCTGTATTCTTAAAATTTTTTATCGTTGTTGTTGCTTTTTTGTTGCAGTGGTTGCGACGGCTGCGAAGAATGGTACCACGGTGATTGCATTGGCATCACTGAAAAGGAGGCCAAGCACATTAAACAATACTATTGCAGGAAGTGTAAACAGGAGAATCCCGATTTGCAGACAATCTTTCGGATTGCGGCCACGGAAAGGCATGCGGCAAATAATGCGGCCAGTACCAGCAATCAAGCGGCAGGGGGCCAAACCCTGCCCGGTGCCGCTGTGGCTACGAATAGTGGTGCCGTACCAACTACAGGTGCCCTAAAACGCAAAAACAACAGTAACAACAACATTAAAGCTGGCAAACGTTGCGGTACCTGTGAAGGCTGCCGTCGGCCCAACTGCAACCAATGTGATGCATGCCAGATACGTGTTGGCCACAAGCCACGCTGCATTTATCGCAATTGTGTGACGCAGGGCTCAATGGTTGGTGTTGGCGCAGCTGCAGGAGTCGGGCAAATGCAGAATGTTGCACCAACAACAACGGTTTCAACAACAGCGGCCGGACGGAAGCGGGATAAGGCATTGATAAAGGAACGCAAAAGTAAAATGACACGCGCCGCCAGTCCAGAGATATTTATAAATCCCGAGCTGGAGGGGCTCCGGCAGTGCTATGGGCCGAATTGCCGTTGTCAGGCACGGCCGCAAAGTAAATACTGCAGCGACAAATGTGGTTTCAATCTCGCCACGAATCGCATATTCCAGGTGTTGCCACAGCGCCTGCAGGAATGGAATTTAACGCCCTGTCATGCGGCCGAAGAGAATCGTAAGCAATTGGATGCGATTCGAAATAAGCAATCGATGGTGCGCTTTGCTTTAGCGGAGCTGGAAAAGCGTGCTGAGGAGCTTAATATGGTGGTGGAGCGGGCCAAACGCAGCTCCATTGATCCGCAGCGAGCGCAAGAAAGTAGCGATGTCGAGGATGAGCAGAGCATGTATTGCATTACTTGTGGCCATGAGATACACTCTCGTACGGCGATTAAGCATATGGAGAAATGCTTTAATAAATACGAATCGCAGGCATCCTTTGGCAGCATTTTCCAGACACGCATGGAGGGCAACAACATGTTCTGTGATTTCTATAATCCCGCAAGCAAAACCTATTGTAAGCGCTTGCGCGTACTCTGTCCGGAGCACAGTAAAGACCCAAAAGTGAACGATACAGATGTGTGTGGCGCACCACTCGTCCACAATGTCTTCAATCCAACGGGGGAGTTCTGTCGGGCACCCAAAAAGAATTGCTTCAAACACTATGCCTGGGAGAAGATACGACGCGCCGAAATCGATTTGGAACGAGTACGCCAATGGCTCAAAATGGACGATCTGATGGAGCAGGAGCGTCTGCTGCGCCAGCAGATAACCTCGCGTGCCAACTTGTTGGGCCTTATGCTGCACTCCACCTATAATCACGAGGTGATGGATGAACTGGTGCGCAAACAGCAGGAACATTTGGCCGAATTCGAGAAGCAGAAGCGGCGGCAACAACAGCACCAGCAACAGAAGCAGCAGGAGTTGCAACAGGAACAGGAGCGTGTGCTACAACAGCAGCAACTGAAAGTGCAAAAACAGTATCAATTGCAGCAGCAATATCAAATGCAACAGCTACAGCGGCAACTCCAACAGCAGCAACAACTTCAACAGCAGCAGCAGCAACAACTCCAGCAGCAGCAACAACTCCAACAGCAGCAGCAGCAACAACTCCAGCAGCAGCAGCAAAATTTGCAGATGCAACATCTTCAACAGCTGCAACAACAGCAACAACAACAACAACAACAACAACAAAAACGTGTGCAGCCAATTCATTTTATTTATCAACCGAAACCCCAGCAATAGTTAACAGTTTTATGAGCAGCAATTCATCTTTCTTAACTCTTTTGTATTTTTTTTTATAAACAAATTAATTTGTTGTTGTGTTGCGAAATTGATAATTATTATTACTTACTTTTTTGGCGATTGCCACATAGGAACAGAGATTTGTGCAACAACAATTTAAAGCCCAAAACCACTTTGTAAATCATCATACATACATAAACATTACAAGTATATATATTTATATACAAGTATATATATATATATGTATGCTTAAGTGATTTTAATATTTATATTTACAACTAACTATATATATTTATATCACCTCAAAGTTGAGAGAGGGAGAAAGAGAAACACTTTCAATTATATTTATTATATCGTGAAATTGCAATGATCATGTATTCATGACTTAAGTTTCGTCTTAATCATCGCCTAGCTATAAGAATTATACACATTGTTAATAGTTATGCACGATTTAAAATTAAAACGCATTATTATGTAAGCTAAAAAGAACACAAACAAAACCCCTTAGCATTCCCGTGAAATATGACGTGAATGGTCGCAATCTGCAAAACATAATTGTATATATATCTTAATGACTTAATTAAAATTGTCAAGAACATTTTTTACAAACTCAGCCTGCCTTATCATATTCTCATCTAAAAAAGGTAAATCTGGAGAAGCATATAGAAAAGAAACCCTCTCTACGTATCTGAAACCAAGGGCAGCTTTGGAACCTTTTCAATTTTGTGTTAATCGAAATTCAAGAACTTTGAAGGCACAGAAACAGCTTGCCAAATTCATACTAAGCCATCTGCATTATCCTAGACCTAATTATCTTGAGAATCCGCCATCATTAAACAACATTATTACTAAACGCAATTTAAATTGCAGACTATTTTCGACTTCGTGTTAATATTTTCCTTGCCTCCGGATTCTTAGCATTTCGAACACAAAGTTGAAAAAGTAGCACAGTTTTCAAATCTTGTTAATATCCTTCATATTTGGGAATTTTCAAGTTAATTAGGATTGGTGTACTAAAGTTTCTGTGTCTCCTGTTTCATTGCATTTCGACAAACATGAAAGTGAAAAAAATGCCCTTACGTTATAGCATTTTATTACAAACATTGGAAAGCTTAGCAAGTATATGTACATTGTTTTTGCTGGATTCTTTCATGCCACATCATCGGCATGGCAATGAGATATTCTTGCAACGTGCGTTACTCGGCAACCTGATAACACACGCTTTCCGGCTGATTATCATATTGAACCCCATTCTCATTCCAGTTGCATTGCATGTGCATTCATATACTCACTATATTCTAGGTATCCTTTCTATCAAAACTATTCCAGAACAAACACACGCACATACATGTGTAGAAGAGAAACGGAAAACAACGAACATGCAACGTGGAGGGTCGTTGCTACGTCAACCGCCGATGGGGAACGATTCCCATGTTTGTTATTGAAAACTAAGCTTCAAAAAATGTATGGCTATCCAGAATCGGCTGACTTCATGCCACACATCATGTACACATGAGGCTAGGCTAGGGGGTGAACGAGTCTGTGAATGAGAAGGGAAAACCTTATAGAATAATTATTATTTAAGCCCAGTAGGTAATGATTTTGTATGTAACATGTATGTGTCATTCCTTCTATAATGCTATAGCTCTCATCCTAAAGAATCAAAAACTGTAGAATCACGAAAACAAATTTACAGACCAGCTGGGAGAGTTTTCACCAAAAACATAATACTAATTAACCATTCAATAATTTATATAAAAAAAAAGAAAGAAACTCTCCGACTCAGAGCCGTATACAGAGATGCTGCTGAAAAGAGAAAATCTTTTAAATACTTAGTTGTGGATCTCGAAAATAGTATTGGTAAGTAACTCTTAGTTGGGACAGAAAACTTAAGACTACTTAATAATAATACTGAGGTGCCTCGTCTAGACCTTTCTCTAAAAGTACTTAAGAAGTACTACTCTAAGCACTTTCGGGAACTCTCCCTAGTTCATACGCATTGATAGTCAGTTGTAGGTTTAGAAAGGAGTAATGGTAAGTAGTGTCTAGTTAGTCTAAAAGAGCTAGAAATCTTAAGACTCAACTCTACAGAAAAGTCTATTCTAGATATATTTTTGAAAAAATTTACCGAAATAATTGTATATTTCTTTTCCTAGAGAACGCATTACTTTTTCAAATATCCGTCCATTGTGTTTCAGTTAATTGCTAATATTGTGATACGTGCGGTCGCATGAATGATATGCCGACCAAATCCTGCAGGACTTGTGGGTTGTTTATTGTTGTTGTCGATTAGGTAGGCAGACAGGCAGGCTTTGTGAATATACATATACATATATACAATTATGTATGTATGTTTGTTTTGTGTGTGAAATCGAAATGGAAAATTAAACATTGAGAATTTAGTAGTCTTTGAACTTGCTGTGCTGATCTTTCAAATTTTCGTTGGACAGTCACAATATATATATTTTTTATATTTCACACATAACTCCCCGATCAGACACAAAAACACACACAATTTTCTCGTCATTTTATCTGAAAACAATCAAAAAATCGTAAGCGAGCGCCGCCAAAGAACGCCAAATGCCCAGCAGGCTAATACGGTAGCGCGATACTCCATAGACAATCCTATATATATACAAGTATATATATATAGTTAATATATCCAACGTTTTCGTGTTTAGTTATATCTAATATCCTATTTTGATAGTGGAAATAAAAACAGAAAAAATTGAGCCGCTCGATCCAAAAGTGCGTGAGTGCAAGTGAAACGGTTAAATTATAGTTCCGAGACAGTTGTTACACAATAGCAATACGGGAAGTAGAAGAAAAGGAAGAGAAGTGAAGACAACAACAAATCAGTGCATTATCAACATAAAGACCGAGAAATTGCTGCCACCCAAGGAGGAGGAGGAGAACTACGAGAACTGTTCGATCTATAGCTTACACCTAAAAAAGCATTTGCCAACGATTGGTTCTTTGTTTCGTTAACGGTCGGTGCCCGTTGAATATCGGCCTGGGCATTTAAGAGGTGAGCGCATTATCCCCTATCTATAGTATATCATCCTATTTATATTTATGTATGTATATTCTCAGCTTAATATTGCATTGGTTCTAGGTTTAAGTTTCTTGTGTTTATTTCGTTTGGTTTTAAACTTTCTCGGACAAGTTAAAGGCTCACATCATAGTCGGAACATACTAACAAACGGTCACAATAAAAAAAAATTGGGTGGCTGGGCCACATACTGCCCCGATTGCCGCAGCTGTCTCTGTCGGTTGTCAGTTGTCGGCTGCCATTGCTGCTGTCGACCTCGCCGACACATAGAAAAAGGTGAGTGAAATAACGAGCACATCTCATTACGCTTAGCTACCACCTTTCCCATCACTACACTGGACTCCAAGGTAAAGGATTTTTTCCGGGAAACATTGTAAATTATTTTCGTTTATAGAGCAATCAAAGGAGCATAACTTTAGCATTGCTTGGTATTTCAACGAACCACAAATTTCTCCATTCTGTTAATTGATAATTTATTAGTCGGACTTAGATTTTTGGACTTTATAGCTTCTTCAGCAGCTGATTGGTTCTTTATCTGTACATCTGAAGTTCTAAAAGACAAAATAACTGACCCGCTCCTCTCTCTATGTAGAAGAAGATACATTTGAAATAAGCCTCAACTTTGAGTCTCCAGACTACTAATTTACCATTACATTTTTATTTTCAAAACGGCAATAAGGTTAGACTCACTCCTCGCCTTTTCATATAAAGCTTCTATCGAAACGTTTTTATTTTCTTCAAAGAAAGGACAGACATAATGATAAGACTCACTTGTCTCATCAGGAGTTCCTATTGAAGCTTCAACTATGAGTCTATCGATTGTGCACTCTATACCTTCTCCTCTCTTCAGAAGATGTTTCTAGCAAAGCTTTATCTGGTGCTGTATCAGTACGACTTAAGTTCCAAAACACAGATAGGTCTATATGGTTAGATTCACTAGACGTACTGGAAATTTCCATCAAAAGTTAAAATTTAAGTCTAATAACCGCTTCAGTTCGAAAAGGCAGATGGGTCTATATGGTTCGACTTACTCAACCGCTTATTTAGCAGCCCTTTGAAAACCAGTCTACCCTATATGATTAGGTGGAGTCCTGTCTGTAAAGAAAGCACCTAAGAACTGACTGGGTATGTTGCCGATATAGACACACCGACTAAGCTTCCCCTCAATGCCAAGAAAAGCTGTCTTTAAGCCTAGTTCGGCATTTGAAATTTACAAATTTGTTGGCTAAGCGGTGTAATAAATTATTTCTTTTCTTAAACAAATTTGTATCGCTTGGTTGCATGCAGCTTTTTGATGGCTTTTCAGGCATTTGATTGTTTTGTGTGATGAGAGGTTACCAGCGATATATTCATATTCAGTTTCCTTTTTTTGACGGGCCAGCAACAATACGCAGCAAGACGAGTCGTTGCCCCGACCGTGGCTTAACTGGCAGCGTTGCCAAGACACATGCCAGCGGCGAAAGAGAGAGAGAGTGGGAGAGGGAGAGGGGCTGCTCTTTGGGCAGGCGATTGAGTTGGCAATGCTAGACCGAAATTGTTTGATGATTATTATTGTCGCCCACTTTCGTTTTCGGTTGCCCATTGAACATCGATCTAACAATAATATTCATATGGTTTCAATCAAAATGTTGCTTGATTGTTGCTGTTGTTGTTGTTGTTGTATTTTCAACATGCTTCAGCGCCTTTTTCATATATGTATGTACATATGTATGTATGTATGTAGTATGTATACATACATACATATACATATGGACTGTCAATTCTAGATGTGTGTTAGCATATCGTACACGCGATGCCTTAAAAGGAGTTAAAGCTTGAGTGCACTCCAACATGAGCAGCAGCAGCAGCAGCAACAACAATAATAACAACCACAGAAATGACAACAACATGACACCACAGCCATCACACCTCCACCTCTAGCTCTATCTTCTGGTACACTCCCTCAGCCCCAATCCACCCAAAACCTAGCACAAGCACAAAATCGAGCAATTTTTTTTAGAGCAGCACAGTAGCAATAAAAAGCAGCGGTAAAGGGAAGAACCACTCGCACCCAGCAGCACCCCGCCGCCATTCATCACTTTAGTGCACGGCGTGCGAAGGGCTCGAGCTTATTGCTCGAGGAAGCAGCAAATTGGCGCCCACTCAGGATTTCGTCTGCGGCCGCAACGGCGTGCGCAGCCGAGGTGTTTATGTTGTGAACAACATTGTTATTCCAGAGCTGAATGTTGTGACGCCGAAACGCCGTCGGTTCCAAAAGAAGCACGCTCGCTCCCACGCCCACAACCATACAGATCAGGAGCATCAACATCAGCAGCAGCAGCAGCGGCAGCAAGGCCAGCAGCCACAACAGCAACAACAGCAGCAACAACAGCAGCAACAACAGCAGCAGCAGCAGCAGCAAATGGCACATCCGACATCACATGATCGCCGTCTCAATGAGCTAGATCACAATGTGGAGCGTATATTCGATGTGCGAAAGGTGGGTCGAAGGTCCTTGACTAGGTGACTAGCTTTCAGCCCCTGCGATATTATAGACATTTGTGGAAACTCCAAGAGATCTCAGTTGGTCCCATTTTAATGTTTTTGGTCATGGACATTATTAAAAATTTAGGAAGGGTTAGAAATTGAGTTTGACTCTTCTTCTTACAAAACTCTTTTAACAGTCAGTGATGAATAATTTACTATATGTACATAAATAGTAAAAAGTATATCCCATATTCCATATAGAAAAGGAATTTGTCTGCTGAACCAGGTTGTAAAGCACTTGAGGATTACGAGTCACTTGTGTCTGTAGTTCGAACTTCTCGTCATTTATGAAGTTCCAAAATATGTCAGTTGGTCTGCTTTGGTAAATTCTCCTGCTGCAGCCTATGAAAGATAAACTAAATTACCAAAATCAACCGAAAGATGACGAAGTTTCGAAATCTTGTCCTGAGATATCTGAAGGGATTCTAGCCTCAGAAAACTCTTCCCAGCACAAAACAGCGACTCATGTCGTAATGTTTAAAGTGTGTTTGGATAATATACTAGCTACGTGTTCCGAATTCGAGAAAGAGGTTTCTACAATTTGTTTTGGCCCACATTTTAGAAGCCTGGTTGGTTTGATTTAGCAACTTAACCCGCCATTGTTGCGGCCATTGAAGTTACCTGATAATATTGCACCGTTAAAAAGCGCTTCCTAGCACTTAATAAAGACTTATCGATCATATAGTATCAGGTAGACTTCCTGGACTCGATTCAAAAACGTTTAGCTCTAAGGTTTAATCGTAATTAGATATTAGTGACATTTGTGAAGTTCCAAGAGAACTTAGTAAGTCCGATTTAGTTATGTATGCTATGAGATATGATCAAAAAATCTCCAAGACATCAAATTTACTCGATAAATGCTGACAGGATATATCATTCTGGACATAACAGATCGACCTACAAAACTCTTGATATTTTGATTGTATATAGATTGTTTTTTTACCAGCTAGCTTGAACAAGGTTTGATAACCAAAGAGTTATGAGTAACGTTTAGCTCAATCGGGTATAGGCTTTAGTCTGTGACTTTTAAAAGTTATCCAAAAAACTAATTGTTTTTTTTTATTATTATTTATGCAGCGTCTTGGTAAGGGGGCTTATGGCATTGTTTGGAAGGCTACAGATCGGCGACAGAAGGAAACTGTGGCTCTGAAGAAGATATTTGACGCCTTCCGCGATGAGACTGATGCACAGCGCACCTATCGTGAAGTTATATTTTTGAGGGCATTTCGCCATCACCCAAATATTATACGCATGCTCGATATTTACAAGTAAGTTGAGGAATAGAGTCCATAGACCGTTTCATATATGTATGTTTGCTTTACAGGGCTGCCAATAATTTGGATTTCTATTTGGTTTTTGAATTCATGGAGAGTGATTTACACAACGTAATCAAGAAAGGTGATATACTGAAGGACATACACAAGCGTTTTGTTATGTATCAGTTAATTAATGCCATTAAGTATATGCACTCGGGCAATGTTATACATAGGGATCTTAAGCCAAGCAACATACTCATTGACAGTAAATGCAGGTAAGTGGCTGAAAATTGGATAGAATTTAAAAAGATTTGAAAATATTGAGACCAAAAAGTGCCCTGAGGATAAGGGAAATTAGTAGCTCTAGCCACTTTTTTCCATCACCTCTTTTTAACCCTCCCTCCTTTTATTTCTGCTTCTTTCCAGGCTAAAGGTTGCTGATTTTGGGTTAGCGCGCACGCTGTCTTCTAAGCGTCGCAACGGGGACTTGGAATCTAAGGATGAGCTGGAAAATCAGCCTGTATTAACAGACTATGTTGCCACACGTTGGTATCGTGCACCAGAAATACTGGTGGCCAGTCGCAAGTAAGTAGTACCGGAACTTCTGCTAACTTACACCTCCATGCTTACAATCATACCGCTTCCACAGATATACAAAGGGCATTGATATGTGGAGTCTGGGTTGTATACTGGGCGAAATGATACGTCAGAAGCCGCTGTTCCAGGGCACCAGCACAGTTAATCAGGTGGGCTAGGCGTTAGCCTTATTTCTGTAGTACTCTAAGGACATCCTGTTTTTTCTTTTTTTTTTGCAGATTGAGAAAATTGTAAACGCCTTGCCGGACGTCACACCTCGAGACATTGAGTCGATTGGCGCCAGCTTCGGTTCTGTGCTTCTAAGCAAGAAAATTATACGCGACAGACGCTATTCGCTGGACGAGATGTTACGCAATTGTTGCGATGATGCCATGGGCCTAGTTAAGGCCCTACTCGTGCTAGATCCAGACGCAAGACTCACGGCAAAGGCAGCCATCGGGCATCCGTATGTAAATAGATTTCGCACTGCCTCAGCGGACATGGAAATGCGCGGCGAAGTCCATCCACCGCTCCAGGATGACACCCGCTATGCGGTCGAGGCCTATCGCAAGAGTCTCTACGACATGATAAGTGTGGAGCCACGTATCGTGGTTCCAGGGCAGGATACCAATACTCGCTCTGGCAGCGTGGCACGCGTAAGGTAAGTGTGAAAGACTAGCCATATGCCAAATGGGGGAAAGACAGCTGGGGTAAGACCAGGTTGTAGAGTTAGGAATGGATTTAACACTAAAAAAGAGCACTGACTAGGGCAAGCTTAGTTGTATTAAAGAGGAAGGGGTAAGGCGGTGGGGTTTTCCTGCACTTCGTGAATGAGTGCAGGAGGAAGAGGAGGAGGAGGAGGAGGAGGAGGAGGAGGAAGGGTCTAGCTACATCATAAAATAGCAACAAGCTCGTACAAACTGTTCGTTTTCAGGTGTCGTCGTCCATAGCATAAAGTTACCGATGCGTCGAGTCCGCCCAAAGCTACGTTGGCCGCAACAACGACTGTTAACCCTAAAACAAAGCCAAAAATTGCACAATGCAACGCTAAAGGTCCACAAAAAGCTTCAGAACAGCCACAACAACAACAGCCATCACAAAAACTACAACAACGACAGTTACGGCGTGAAATTAAAGTGACGCGCCGCACTGCACAAAGCCACTGAGAGATACAGAGAGAGAGAGAGAGAGAGAGAGAGAGAGTGAGAGAGAGGTGCCACCCCGTTACTCCCTACTCTGCCTCTACCCCCGCTTCACAATGAAAGTAATTTAGATATAAACCCGAAACCCCATTGCCTTTTTCTTCCATAGAGCAACAAAAGAGGCGGGAACCGTAACAACACCAACACCACCTGCCAGCAAAGGGAAGGTGATGGCGGTGGCAGATGTCTCTGGAGCTGGAGTCCTACGCGCTTATGCCGGCGGGACGACACACCCAAGGGTGCCAGACAACCACCCATCGGGTGTGAACGCATATGGCGTCAGTACTATTCGACGCAACTACACGCAAGCCTGGTCGGAGCAGCATCACCACCATCATCGCAATCACCATCAACATCAGCTGCAGCAGCAGCAACAACAGCAGCATCAACCTGAGCTTTCACGTCATATGAACAGTGTCTTGCAATATCAGCAACAACAGCAACAGCCGCCGCAGCAGCAACAGCAGCCGCATCGGCATCAGGTGCGTGTGGGGACACCCGTACAACCGCCCGGACGTGCTACCCGTGGCACCAGCATCGACATACCATTGGTTTCGCAGCCGCAGCCGCAGCCGCTTGTGGGACTGGGACGAGAATTGGCCGCCGTGGCAGCCACAGCACCATGCAGCACCACAAGTCTCTGGCAGGCACCGGTGGGTGTGCACCCACCGCCGACGCAGCTGCCACAGATGCCACCGGTGCAACCGAAACAGCAGCTGCCTCAACCACAAGTGACGGCCGTAACTCTGTCGTGGCAACAACCAGCACCACAATGGCCGGAACGTGTTAAGCTGAATCGCCTGCCTTGTAATTGTGTGGCGACTGATGCACCCCCAGAGAGAGAGCGAGAACAGACTGCGGTAGTAGTAGGTGGGCCGGAAGGTGCCAGCAAAGCAGCAAACCCACGTCATGCTGCTCCCAATAAGACGGCACAACAGTCTGGCGATACGCAGCATAAGCGTCAACAGGCACGCGCCCAATCGAAATCAACCCAGAAGCGAACAGCAAACAGCTTGACGCACAAATCGGTGGACAAGTCAAACGGTTTATCTGAAAAGCAGCGCTCAAGCAATCGACGTGGTCAACGACAGAAGGGTGGTGCTGCGACTGGTGGAGCAGGTGGCGATGCGCCTCAGCCACAACGCACAGCAGTGCCATCAGATAATGGTCCATCTCGATCGGTGGCGGTGGTTAAGAAGACGCAAGCAACTCAACTTTCTGCACCACTGCCACACAGTTTACAGCAACATATGCAACATCTGTTGGCGCAAAACGAAACGTACGATGCACACCAGCGCCAGCTGGATATTGAGCGTCTGAAGCGGCTGGAGGAGCAGTGCGAGAAGGAGAAGAAACAGGCTGAGCTCGACCAGAAGCTAAAGATTTTGTCTCTAAAGGCGCAGGAGGCAAAAAAGGTGCCTGAAATGATAATAGCGACGACAACGACGACAATAGCGACACCACCGGAGCAGCAACTCCAGCGTCCGCAAGAGCAGGAGAAGGCCTTGACCAAATCACGTGAGGAGGATCAGCAGCATATGCGGCGCATTGCCATGGAGGCATCACAGAACGCCCTCAGATTGTTTAGCCAGCAAATGCAGCTCCACCAACAGCAGCAACACCAATTGTATCAGCAACAGAAGCAGCAGCAACAGCTACAGCAGCAACAATTGAAGCAACTCCAGCAGCCCCAACTAGAGCAGAACCCAATCTTCTATCGTCAGCAAAAGCAACAACAACAACAACAACAACAACAAGCAACAGGAACCAGTCTAGCCAGCTTCGCGCTGCCTCCCTGCAACTGCCCCGCCAACCAATGCATCGCCAGTGTGTCCTCAATGGATCCCAGTGCGCAGACCTGCTACAAGAGCCGCATCAACTATTTGGAGTCGGAGATGGCCAAGTGTAAGCGTCAGCTGGTCAGCTATGTTCAGGATAATCAGCAATTGATGAGCTATCGCGGTGTTCGCTATCATTTGGAACAGCTACAGAAAACGGATCAGTTCAGTGGGATGTTCGACCTGGGAGGTGGGGGAGACAGAAAACCGACAGTGACAGAAATGCCAGCTAATGGGGCAGAGACGAAACAGCTCGCATCCCCACAGAATGACTCGGGGGTGTCGGGCAGCGAGAATAGTGCCTCGCCTGTTGATCGGAAGCCTTTTTTTGATGGACTGAACACCCAGCATAGCTATGAGCTTTTTCGTTTGGAACAGAATAAGCTGAAGAAGCTACAGCTTAAAGAGTTTCTCGCACGTGACGAGAGCAACGCCTTCGAGTTGCCCGATCTCTGCAATGTCTATAAAGCCAGAAGCTATCATGAGTTTGATCAAGAAGACGATACTGCATCGGAGGCACCCGGAACGTCAAGTGATGCTCGATGTTTGGTTGACGATGGAACTTCTAGTTCATGTTTTTATCGCAGCGATTCTATGTGTCCATTACGTGGTTCCATTTATTTTTCCGATCGCTTAAGCGAGGACACAAAAACCGAAGCCGGCGCTCAGCCCCAAGCCATCTACAGTTCACCCACAGCAGCTGAGCGCTATTTACGTGAATTATGGGATGACCTTACACCACGAAATCCTCCATTAAGGTCACCAAGACGTCCACAGCCAACGGGTGTCAATGGACCGAGTCGATTCCACACCCAGGAGGAATGGCTACGTGTCTGCCAGAATCCCATCAACCCACGTCAGTCCGTTGTGCCAATCCAACGCATGCGTCCAGAGGATATACAGGAGGTTACTTTCTTTGGTGGAGACCTATCCACCGCCTATAATGAGTTCCAGAATAGCAACGATCAGACTTATTCAAAATAATGCAGCAACATACGAGTACCAGTTTAAAAAAAAAAAGAGCAGCTAGTATAGCAAAATATGTGCGCGTTAGCTTCGTTTAGAACAGATATCTATTTAGGACCTAGTTATATTGTGTAGTTTAGAGAAATGTTAGATATACAACTAGATAGATTTGTAGAGAAAATAGTGCTATAAATACGATATGTAAATTAATCAATTTATTTCATTGCTGAATAAAAACTTAAGAAGCAACGCAAAACCAGACACTTTCTGGATTATCATGGCAGCTTTGACGATCTTTAGCTATTCCCTATTTCATGCCTTGGAAGTTGGGTTACACACTCCACATAACCCCTGGGAAATATCGCCTAAGGGTTAAAAATAATACGAGAAAGTTGAATTTGAAGAACCCATTTTATAAAGGTATAATAAATACTATAAGACGGATCGATATAGACATGTTCATATGAACAACGAGAATTTTAGAACCATAACAGCTGGGGAGACCAAGCTTATCCATACACATTATTTTATATGGCCGCTATAGGCTCGGTCGGTGTAAAGTTGGATAATGTTTTGGCTTATGAACATATCTTGCACCTATAATCGGCCTATTCTACAACTATGTATGCACATATATCGTACACTTGCCATATAAATGATCAGTGCAGAAATAAGTCTAAGTATTACAAAATTGCCTGTTTATTGTGATATCGAAAGATTTTGGTAATTTGAAATTTCAGAAAAATCGAACAATTGATCTGTTTATTTTGGTATCGTAATCAGGTGAGGTATTGATTAGTTTTTTATAGTGCCCCATTATTATCCGAAGTTTCATTTAAATTGGCTGACTATACCAGCTTTGCGATATAGAAACGAGGAGCAGTTCAAAAATCGGATGAACATTTTGTTTTGATTTTTAAAACCTTTCACCAATTGATATCTTTATCTGAATTATATTATTTATACGAGCATTTTTTAGGTCTGCAGTCAGAAACCAGTGAGATGCAAATAAAACAGCGCTCCTTCCCTTATTCTTTAGAGAAATGTAGTTTTATTTTGTTTTTCTTTTTTTTACATTTTTTCAACCCATTGTTGTAATGAATTGTGAAAGCGTTGCTTATTATCTCTTTGCACACTGTTTGCTGTTTATTTATTTATTTTTGTTTGATAGTTCGAACAATTGCGTGGTAAATACTATTGCCTACCGATTTGTAAGTCGGTTCATTGTTAATTGATTTGAACACAATAAAGCTCTATATGCGGTTTTCTTATATAGGTATATTAAAAATTTTTACAGATCGACTAATACAAGAGTTTAAAGTTTTGCGTCTCCTTTTAATAGGGTTTTAAAGGTTTATTTTTTAAAACATAATGTCTAGCGTTTGTAGAGCTTTTTGGTTTAGTTGCGTGAATTATTTAATTACACACAGGCATCTATTTCTTAAATATATGTACGCGCTAACAAATAGTTTGTTGTTAATTGTAATTGTTTTTTAGAATGTGTTTCTCTAAGCCTATAATTCAACAATGATTCGTTTAGATAATGTTTTGTAGAGAAAAAAGGTGGCTGTCTTGAAGTGATGATTAATTAATAATTACATACATACATACTCGTATGTAAATGAGCATACAAAATATCGTACATAGCCTTATTATATACACAACTTGTATATATGAAACAATATAAATACATGCACTTTTTTAAATTACAAAAATTGTAGTCAATAATAATAAATTTTCTACTTGAAGTTACACGATTTTGTATACATACGCGTATTTGTTTAGAAGTTTATTAATACGTTATAGTGATCCGTCAATTTGTAAAAATGTTTTAGCTTAATTGTTGTTGCTGCTTTTTCGTTGTCCCAACCACGAGCGGAAGACAAACGTACGATTGTTTTTTTGCATATTAGTTTTGTGAATAATTAGTTTAGTTTAGAATTTGCGCTTTTGTTCCAATTGCTGTTGCGGCAATTCCTCCTGTAATTGCAATATGTGTTCCAACGGCTGTGGTTTGCCGTCCTTGTCGATGTAAGCAGGCTGCAGGATGTTGCCCTTTTGGAGCTTATCGATGAGGGATACTAGTTGCACCGCTTCGTATTCTTTTTGCTCTTCGGACATGCCCTCAAAGGGATTGTGTTTGGGCATCTCGTAGCAACCAGATACAGGATTGATGTGCTGCTGCAGTTTTTTGTATTCTTCGGTATCGCTATCCTCGCTGTCCGATGAGTACTCAGTACTCTCCATACGCCGGCAATCCAGCAGGCCGAGGCGAGCAAAGAGGCCGGCAGCATTGCCGTACCCGGTATATTTAATCATTCGATTGACATCCTCCTTGCACAGCACGAACAGCAGTTCCGCAGACAAATCACGTAGAATCATGGCGGGCAGGGTGAGAAAGCGACACAAATAGTTTCTCAGCTCATGACCTATTTCCGGCCGATGATGAACATCTCGCAGCGGTGGCAAAATCTCGGCACGCAAATAATGACGCATAGTCCGATCACTGCGGGCACATTTCACCAAAACTGTGAGCACTGGGGAGAGCAACTCATGCGAGCTGGCCTCCGCCTCCTGCTGAGCCAACACCTGACGCAAATAGTTCAGCAACACCTCCAAGCAGCGCACATTCCGCTTCTCAAAGCAGAGGGCACAGCATTTCGTTGGTTGACTGCTATTCGCTGCCACTGGCGCGGACGCTGCATCCACATGTTCCGACTCTTGCTCTAGCTGCTGATCGGAATTGCTGCACTTGAGCGTTAGCTCGATGAGGCAGCTACCCGAGATGTTTGTCAATAAGTTGATCGCATGTGTGACTACGGCACGTTCTCGTTCCGTCTTCAGGTGGCCGAAGCGCAGCAGCAATTCACGTAAAACGCCCGTCAAATGCAAACTCTGAATCTCATACTCGTTGGGGCTCTTGTCGGGCGAACTGGTGACATTAAACATTACCTTGAGCAGCTCACAAATGATGTTCAACTGTTCGTCACTGCATGCAGGTTCGGCCAGCTTATCATCCAGCCATTTGGTCATATAGGTTAGACCATTGAGATCAATTTGCAGGCGTGTGCGCGCCTTTGGCTCCAGAGCCGTCAGCAGGAACAGCAGCTTCATGTCATAATACTCCAGGGCGCAGGGATGGCGCATAGAGGAAGCGACACGTTTCAGTATGGCATCCACACAGTGTTGACGCAGACATTGTCGTCTGCAATCGGCACTTTGATAGACCAAATTACACAGACATTTGAGTGCCTCTGCAATGATATCATGGCTGCTGGCTGCTTCGCTCTCAGACACATGCGTGGCTGAGGCAGTTGCCAGTTTTTCCTGCTCCAGCAACTCGTCCGGTGTGGCGGGCAAATTAATGGTCGACACAGTATTGCCATCTATGCGCGCCAATGTCAGCAAAGTGTTCAGCTCCTGCTCAATGTAATTCGTCTGCAGGCTAAACTCATCCCGTGTCAAAATGCGCACCGTGTTGAGGCACAGCGAGTGGAGTGGCGCCAATGTCGTGTCATCAAGGATGCCAAAGATAGCTAACCAAAGGTCGTGCCATAGGTTGTCCGCCCGAAAACTGTCGAAGCTCAATAGATCGGCATACTGTAAAATGATTACAGTGAGAAATCATCACTATTCCAGTTTATTTTTTGATTTAACTTACCTTTTTGTTAAACTCGTTTAGAATATCGGCAATGTGTTCAGTTTCCTTGCGTTCAAGCTGTTTCAGCTTCTCGGCTTCCATGTTGCATCCATAAAGCAACTAACTGATATTTTTGTGAAAATCGCTTGCCGTTTGGCTATGAACTCATTTACAACAAATGCTAATTAGATTTTATGCTTCCCGTATCCTTCAAAGCTGCGCCCTCACAAAGAAAATGACCAAAAACCGCCCCCAAAATATGCTCAAACGCATCAAAACAGCTGTTTAATTCACCACCCAACGAGTGTTGGTAAATGCACCAAAAAATAAAAATAAAGCAACACCATCTACAAAAAACCCAAAAAAAAAACTGATGAGACCAAAAACAACAATCGACCGTTTGTTTTGATTTTTGCATTGCGATTTGCGCATAAATAAGGAATATTATTTATTACAAAAAATACACATATTTTTGAAAGTGTATACATTTATGTACTTATATAGTTTGTTTGTGTAAAAATATAAATTTATAGAAAATAAGGTATTGTGTATTGAAGACATTTCTCTTCTTTTCTTTCGTTTTTTTTTTTTTTTTTGTTGGCTTGTAAATTATTTCTGAAGCTTTGCTTGCTTACTGGGTTTCTTTGTCTTGATTACTTAAAAATATTTATATATGTATGTATGTATGTAGTTCTTTTTCGCATTACGAGTCATAATGGTCGATAAATTCAATGGGTCTACGTCGCCTATAGCAGATCGGATCCAATCTAACTGGCTTCCACTTCTTCTTTTTCTATAAAACAATGCGAAAATGAAGTAAGAAACATTTGAAAGGAATAGAAGGAAATAATAATAATAATAAATAAATGTGTATTAAGAATCTAAAATTAGCAAGTTGAAAATATAATCATTTATATACGGAATTGAGTTGGAATGAATTAAAGATATTTAATTACAACTACTACTAAATAAAAATGTAAATAATAATAAATGATCGAATGTAATAATAATTCATATACATACCAACTAAACTACACAACATTTATCCTACACTTCAACTTTCCAATATTTAAATGCATTCAATGTAAAGTGTGCGATAAAAATATGAATGTTGTGCGTTAAATTGGCGCGTAGTTCTTAAAAATGATAAGCCTACACACATAAATCAAATGAGATTATATAGAAATAATATATGTATAAAAATATAAATGTATAATCATATATGTATGTATGTAAATAGTCGTTGAAAGAAACAATTGAATATTTTAAAAATGCGTTGAAAGCCTCGCAACATGCAATGCAGTAATCGAACCACTGGGCAGGCGTTTTAGCTTTTTCGTTTTTTGTTTTTTAAATGCTTTATCACTAGCGATGAGATTTTTTAGGAATAACAACAACAGAGCATAGAACAGAGGAGAGGGAAGGGAACTTGATAGTGAAAGGTGATCACAATTACACCAAAACACAAACGAATTACAACGGATGCCGAAAATGGAATTGGAAATGGGGATATATACGAGTAGGTAGAAGATAGCGTTTGTAGATAACAGATTTGGAATGTAGATTAGCAAGAATTTGTTGGGCAACATCGGAAATTAAAGCAGCATAACGGTTCATACTTAAATAACAAAAATAAAGGGAAACAAAACTAAACTGTTGTACTGGGTGGTGCCGGCGGATTAGCGGCCGGCGGTATGGAATTTGGTATGGCGACAACACAGGAACCAGCTCGTGGAAACGACATGGGCGCCAAATCGTTCCAGCCATTACGAACCGGATCGTATTCCTCTACAGCCTTTAGTGCATGATTTCCATCGTAACCGCCAACAGCAATGAGACGATCTCCCAACAATGCACAACCAATAGCATCCCTACCCACAGCCAGCGAGCAGATCTGTAAATATACATACATCATGCAATTATATATATATAAAGTACTCTCTCCATTTCGTTTCCCGGCTCACCAGTGTCCAAGTATCAGTGGCTGGATCGTAACGCTCAACCGTTTCTGTGCGACAGACCATGGGATTGCTCGCTGGACAATCGTGACCGCCTAGAGCATAAAGAAATCCATTTGCTACGGCCACCTGGAAGGGAATATCATTAATTAATTGAAAATAAATAGATGATAGGTGAATTATATTTAATTTACTCACGCCTACACCGCCACGGCGTCTGTTCATGGGGGCCAGCAGACTCCATTTGTTGGTGTGCGGATCATAACATTCGATGGAGCGATGGCAAACGGAACCATCACGTCCGCCTACGGCATAAAGACGACCGCCCAGCACGGCCACGCCAGCAGTCGAGCGCATTGAAGACATAGGCGCCACATAATTCCAGGTGCGTGCAACAGGGTCCCAGCTATCAAAAGAATTAGGATTCGTTATAAATTAAATATTAAATAAAGCTCCGCTTTCAATTAATTAAGTTTTTTAAAAGTTATTTTAAAACGAAATATTTAGCTGTTCCGAACTATTCGGTTTCAAAAGTTTTCTTCTTGTTGGAGTGGTATAAAAAGTATTTTTCATTTCTTTTAATTTCGCAATTAATTTTATTTCGATTAAGTTATTCGAAATCAAAATTGCGATTTCCGAAATCAAAAGTATTTTGAAATTGGCTTTATTTCAATATATAAAAAAAGACGAAGACTTAAATTATTTGAAAGGTTTTAACTTTCTGTCTACATAAAAAACAATAAATACATGAATTATAATGTTATTAAGAGTTTAAAGCCAACAATTCTTCAGAGTTAGCTCAGCTAGACATCCATTTAAGTTCCGACTTACCGCTCCACCGTGTTCAGGTAACTCCAGCCATCGTGACCGCCCACGGCGTAGAGTGGTCCCTCCAAAACGGCCACACCCAGGCCATGACGTGGAGTCGCCATGGGATTTAGTGGGGTCCAAGACATGCTATTCAAATCCAAACACTCCACCGTGTTCAGTGTTTTAAGGCCATCGCGTCCACCCACCAGAATGAGCTTATCTTCCATAACAGCTGTACCGAATTGCAAGCGACGTGCTGTCATATGTTTCCAAGGTGTCCATTTGTTGAGACGCGGACAGTAACTCTCAATACTGATGGCACCCTTGTGGGCATCCATGCCGCCAACAGCCAATAGACGACCCACAGTCGATTTCCGGGGTGTTGTACGCTCTGTGGCGATCAGGGAGCGACGCTCGGGCATTAAGTGCCATTTGAAGGCCTCCATGACGAGCTTTTGACATTCACTGGATTTGGAAACATTCTCGACATGATCCATAATGAAGGATGGTGGCATCAATGGGAGTCGTACCAGCGCCAGAAGTTCGGAAATGTGCTGCTCTCGATTCTGCAAATCATGACGCACCCACGACATGAGGCTGTGAAAGACATCTTGCTCGGATGGCACATTGAGATCGTTGCTGGAGAGCAGCTTTCCCAGCTGTTCGGCATTTAGCTGAAAGAACTCTTGATTCTGGCAGACCTGCATAAAATTCTGGCAGGTATAAGCCTGGGCCAGCTGGAGAAGAGTCGTGCAGCTCTGCTGTTCAGCAAAGAACGCAAATCCCAGACAATTGGACGGATGCAGCTGACGGGCTAGGAAATTGCAGCAGGCATTCACCACAGAGGTCAGCTGCAACAGGCAGGCAGTTGCCAGCAGGGTTTCGACTGTATCTTCTCGTAGCTCAATAAATCCAGTATAGCAGTATTGCACCAATAATTGTAAAGCATCCCCATGTACCTCACCCAAGGTCACATCATTCTCCTTCGCTTCACGCAGCGATCCGGTAAACATGGCCGAGAAATATGCGCTCGAGGCGGAAAGCACCAAACGATGTGCCGGCACACTGTTTTGAATCAAATTATAACCAAATGGGGCATTACTTTCATGCGTAGGATTATACGCTTTGATATAGTTAATTATATAAATAAATTGTTCATGTTTTTGTGTAGAGTTATTCAACCCCAAAAATAGTTCACGTTGTTAAAGAAACCACATTATTATTGAATATTAGATAGTTTTATTACTTGAATACCCTATACCCGATGGTTTAATGGCTATTCTAGAATGCTTAAGCAATTATGTGATATTGATAAAGATATGGCTGTCTGTCTGTATGAACATCGATAACTTTCGAACCTTAACAAGTAAGATACCATATCTGCATAAGAGATTGTCTTAACCATACGCAAAGCAAGTTTATTAAAAAACTTGTGTATCTATGTGCAATGCTTTATATGTATAACTCCCATAGAAACAATCGATGCAAACTCTTAGAAGGATAACTGGTTTGTTTATAAATATTTTGGTATTTATGAACTCTGAAGCTTCATTAAAATTAACTCACTATATCATATACATATGTGCAAAAATCACATTAATATGAACGATTGATTTAAAAATCACTCTAAACACTAAAAATATTTCTGTTTATTTCGGTATCGTTACCAAATTGACGAGCTTTTTTAAGTGCCTCATCATAATCAAATCAAATTTGCTACCAATTTTGGTAAAGCTGTCAGGAATGACTGGTAGATGAATGGCTGTATCGGGGAAAGGAATTTAAGAGGCTTCTTTCACGTTTTAACCTTAAAATTACATATATCTTAAGACTTCGGGGTTAAATGGTTTATTCGATATTTCGCAGTCATCATTCTCTTCAAGCTTGTGTTATTATTGGCATCCTAATTAGCACGGCAATACGAGTTGTTCTGGACATATCTGTCCGTCCGTTCCGACAAATTTTAAATATATAAAAATGTTAAAAAATTAGACTCCTACATTAGTACGATTAATGATCAGTTACTGAACCCGTACAGGGTAAATGAGAGTTGGAGAGACGGTGGAGAGTCTAGCACTCGCGACTCGTTTCTTTCAATGTTTATTGTTGGAATTGCGTTGCCTCGCTCTTGGGTACTGGACCGGGCCTGTTGCTTGCCAGCAAATGACAAGACAAGCAGACAAAGAAATTGAACTGCGACAGAGTGAAGGTTAGACAGCGCACCGGGCCGGGCAGTTCTGCGGCAGTAATGGCGGGCGCCTGTCTGTGCAGCAGAATTGCTAATGAGTATACATACATACATATATACATACATATATACATATGAATACATATGTATAAATACATATGTATGTATGTCGTCGTCATCATCATGGGATGACGCTTTTGCGCATTGGTAACAGCTGCCACAGCTGTTAGCAGTGGGCAGGGTTATGGATCGGATGAACTGGAATTATTTCCTCTTCCCTTGCTACAATTTTGTCACAAATCTCGTGGAGAAGAAATACGGGCCCAAGTATATACTATATATTAGTAACATAACGTACTATTAAATGTCCTAAGATGTCCTAACAAAATCGAGGGTCACGGGATTCCCCCTTTCCACTTTCATATCTGCACTCACCGTTTGCCATCGATACCAGCGATGAGCACTACATCGCACAACTGCTGATTATCCAAATATAGTTGCATCCTTTTCAAAACGAAATCCGGATGATCGCGACAGCGAAAGAATTCATCCTGACTGCCCGCCGAGTTTAGACTCCCCATGCTGTAATCGCGCGTTAGGGACTCCTCGGAGAGCATGGAGACGTGACCGGAGGTGGACGCTGTTGAGTCGCGGCTCGGACTTTCTTTGTTCACTGTAGACATCTTGAAACTTGCAGTTGTAAATGGCTTGAATCGTAATCCCTCTTCCCCTGTTCTCTCTTTCTTGAAACACCAAATGACAAATAAGAAGCAGAAAAAAAGTTGCTGTCAAAGCTGGATGGAGTTGCACGTCTCTCTTTGTTGCCCTTGTTATTGTTGCTGCAATTTAGATTTCAGCTTTCTACTGCGATGTTGTTGCACAGAAACGCGGATACAATACTGCAACGTCTGTGCTCGGCCACTAAGGTTGACAGACTGTTTGGCTATTGTTGTTGTTATGGTGCGTGGTAAGCTTGTTGCTTTGTTGCACTTGCATTTCTTGTCTCGCACACAACGACACTTATTGTACATCTATGCACATACATTTGTATCTGTGTGTGCATGTACTCGTATGTGTCTCTTCACAAGCGCAACCGCAGACAACTCGAACTATTACAAGAACTGCAAATTATTTACAGCAGCGCCGCCTCAGACAAAGAGCTCTTTTATGCCAGCTGGTTTTGGTGTCTACAGCGTTCTACAGCGCGCTTTGTTTTTTTTTTTTTAATTTGTAAATTTTCAATTACACAGGAAATACTATGTACATGATTATTTGCAATTGCGTAGTGCGTGTGTGTTAGTGTGTTCGCATTACTTTCTATTTAGCGGTGACTCTCAGTTTGTCTGCACATTTTATTTTATCTGGGCACTTTTATTAAATAGCAACCAACCACATATTAACTACGACTAACTACAGCTGGTTCTATATATAACGTATGTACATACATATGTATGTATGTACCCTACCCATTTATGCTTTATTTTTGCACGCCCGCTCTGCACCGCACTGCGCTGTATGACTGAAAACAAAATAAAGCACTTTTATCTTCATAGTGTAAAGAGAGAAGTAGTGATTTTAAATGCTGCAACTTTAATTTACTCTCACTGCATGTACGTCATAATGTACGTGGAGTAAGTGAGAGCGCATGGTAACTAATACTTAGTTTTACTTTTGCAATTACTTTACGGCAAAATATCTAATATCTTTCGCTAAATCAAAAAATAGTTGCAATCTGAAAAATAGCAACATTTTTAAATATTTCGCGTCGCAATGTAAATACGCCACGGTACTGTCTGTGACGTCACACAAAGAGAACACCGAAAAACGGACGTGAACAAAGCCATCCTTCTAGCTTCTTTGTATCATGACTTATCTCTATCTATTGACCTGCGCGTCATGACGGCACTGCCAACAACAATAATAAAAAACAACTCCAACAGCTGAAAACGGTGGTATTGCCATACTGCGCATTTGCGCGCGCATTTTAAACAATAACCAATGAACCGTAAGAAATGTTGCCTGTTTATTATGTGTGTAAAAAAGGAGAGGTAGAGTCAATTACAGTATTGGGTTCTACTCCTCTATCTTGATCGGCTGTGGCAAGCCAACGGCAAACTTAGACAAGTTTTCCAGAAACCCAATGTACGAGTTATGTTCATGCAATGTAGCCAAATCGGAAATTTTGATGGCAAACTTCTTATCGATGCCCTTCTCCACCAACATTTCCATAAGCAGCTGGTACAAAGACATATCGATCATGGACGCTTCAATAGTATAGGCTCGCTCATTCCAAGCGTGCTCAAACAAGGAGACCTCGTGTATTTGGTATACCTTCGACGCTATGTCGACCGCTTGCTGCTTGGTTATTGGAACCGTATAGGGATAGTGGGATGCCATGTCTTCAGAACTTTCGAATGCCGTCGACTGGAACTTGCAATAAATGGATAGCAAAGTCTGTCCATGTCTGATGAGGACCTCAAATTTTGGTTTACTGCGCAAGGGAGCTTTTTCGTCATCGCCGTTTCGCTGCACACTCTTGCTGACATTAAAGAAAACCGTAATGCACTCGTTATTCAACTCCTTGGTCAACTCAACCTCAGATCCGCGATACAGGATGCTAAAGTCATTGACGCTAATAGGCGGCTCTGTCTGACCCTGAATGCGACGTTCCTCAAGGATTTCTCTTGTCAGGAACTCAACCAAATCACGGTCAGTTGCTTTCACTTGTTCGGTCTGCAATTCTAGCTTCTTCGAATGGGGCGCTTTCCGTTCTGGACTTTTCTGCAAATACGAACTACTGAACGAGAACTCGCGTTTTTTTGTGGTCCGACTGCCATGGACCAATGCACCCGGTAAGAATTTTAATAATTTTAAATAACGTGACATTTTCGGTCGACCAAGCTGTCGAAAAAAAGCAATTTCCTTCCCCTTGGGCTTATCCGAAAATGTAAACTTCTTTAAAACTAGTAGGTATTTCTTTATGAACAGCCAGGACGCAACTAAATATGTTAAGTGATGAAGCTATAGTCATGTGTTTTCAACGCCTCCTGAGATTTAATTTAAATCGAAAACAAATTTTAATGGCGAAATTGGGTATCCTTTAAAGATTTGGGGAACCTAAATGTCATGTGTCAAAAAGAATTACGGTACTTTCAACTGATGGCATATGATACAATTCTGATAAGAACGCGTATTTATGGTGAACATAAAAGAATCTATCACCAATTGGGAGATCATAACTGTTTCTTACTATTCGAATCTGTAAAATCTGTCTACATAATGCGACTTTGGATTTCTTCGTAGCTATGCAACTATACAGTTTTATTCATTTATTATTACTGTTTTCTTCAATACATCCAAATAAATAAGAAGACTAAAAAGAGAAGGCAGAACATATAGTGGCCGAAGGAAAGAAAGAGAGAAGAATAGCCAGCTAATACAAGTACATTGTACGTAGTAAATAACTACAAACAAATATATAACATATGTATGAGAGTGTATGTGAGTGTGTTGATGTGTGTTGATGTGTGTGTGTGGAGTACGGTAAACATTGGTGCGTGTACACAGAAGAGTGCGCGGCATAAAGGAATGCAATTTAGTTGGGCGATGTATTGCGTTTTGGCGTCGACGGCGGCAAATCCATTGTCTTGCACACCCATCCCGATATGTCCACCTCCTCCACCTCAGCCTTACGTATCCATGGATGACTCTGAAATGCGAAAATAATAAATAATATAGGCGGATTTTGCGCATTTATATTTAGATACTTTGCTTACCAATAACGTTTTAAGATCCGCACGCTCATCGGGCTGCTTTTTCAGGCATATATCCACAAAGTCCTTGAACTCATCAGAGAATATTTTGTGCTCTAGCTTGGGTGGCGGTTCATTGACTATATAGTCAAGCAGTTCAAATATGGCCATCACTTTCGGCTCCAGCACCGTCTGATTACCATCTTCGGCATTTTCAGCAAAAATTTGCTCTAGTGTGTTGGTATCAGGCGGTGGTATTGGATACATTCCAATGGCCATTTCCACTAGGGAAAGGCCCAGGGACCAGATATCAGACTGAACCGAATAGTGTGTGCCTTGTAGTCGTTCGGGCTGAAACAAAATTCCATAGAACTTATTTATTCTTTAATTCATAAAAACAATCTGTAAATTTTTGATAAAATATAATATTTAAAAACCAAATCAGACCTATTCTCATTTCGTAATGAGGTCAAATAACGCAAATCAAAATTAGTAGTTGATAAACGAAAAATCCATTTGACCTCAAAAGAGATTAATGGAATACTTAGACTGGAATTCATGCTCCTTGTCAAAGAATTTTGAACCAAATGCCTTCAATTTTTTTTCCATAGTTTCATACATCGAATTTGAAAATAGGTCTGAATTTTTTATGAGGAATAGTATTTAATGAAATACATATAATACAAATACATAAATAGTTGCAAAAAATACGTATTTTGATAATATTTAAAAATCAATTACCTGATAGTATTTTTTTGTATACACAATATTAATAAATAAAAGGTGTCTACTTACAGACATATAGCTGCGCGTGCCCACAAACGAGTTAGCCATCGAATCAATTAGCTGACCCGATACGCCGAAATCACAGATCTTTATCTCTCCACTGCTATTGACGAGTATATTGCTGGGCTTAACATCGCGATGTATAATCGCGTGCTTGTCGCGCAAATAGCTCAAGCCCTTGAGTACGGCGAGCGTGATGCGACCGAGTATGGATTCGGGTATGCGACCGGCGCGCTTCAATATGAGATCTAAAGAGCCACCATCCATATATTCCATGCATATGCTGATCTCGCCATCACTGACAAATGCCCCATAAAAGCCGACAATGTGTGGGAAATTGCATTCGTGGAGTACTTTTAGTTCGCGTAGGATTTGTTTTTTAATTGCCGGCTTCACCTCCAGGTGTATGAGTTTGCGTGCCATTATCAAATGCGTGTGTGTGTGACGGACTTTCATGACAACGCCACCGTTCCCGGAGCCCAGTTCGCCCAATTTTTCCAGATCCTCATCTGACAGTTCGCCGATTTTCTCCTTTTGACTGAGAAATACTTTGATCCGTTTGCGTTCAGTGTCGTCCATGTCTAGACCCTCCAGTGTTTCAGTCAGGGCATCGATGCTCGTTTTTGGCTTCAGCAAACTATGTGTGCTTTAATTTAACTTTTTAATGAATTTTTGCAGAACAAACTCAAAAGCAGCAAAAGAAAAATTCGGTATTGGTTTAAAGAGAGTGGGGGTGGTAGATGTGATGATGATGATGGCTTGATAGTTGATTTGTGGGGTGGGTGGGTGTGTATGTGTGTGTGTTTGTGTACGTGGGTGGGTGTGCGTATCTGCGTCATTTTGAGAATACCAACAACAACGTCGATGGAGACGGCAACAACAATAACAACACAACACACTTGTGGATGAGCGGGCGTTTAAACAAAAATAGGAAGATTCTAAAGTGCAAATCAACTTACTCAGTGCCTGAGGGTGTCTTAAATGGTGGTGTTGGAGCCACTTGTGCAGCGGCAACAGTTGCATCGACATTTACCGGCGGTAGCACCAAGTTTAGCTTGTTTTTCGACATTTTTAGCCAATCCACAAGAAACCGAAACGCAAACGCCTTTATTTGTTGCGGGCGGGGGTGGGGACTTAACTTGCGCGCAACTTGCCCGCACAACTAACAAACTTCCGGTGACAATTGTATAACGAAAAGTATTTTTTCGTAGGCGACCACTTCTTTTTGCCTTGGCCAAAATCAACATCGGTCATGTCAACTCCGATAACTGCCCTCCCTGTAACTGCCCCAAGTTGGCAGCACCAATACCATCATGCCTATTAGTGACGCCAACTTTTCAAAAGAAAAAGGCTCTGACGAGAATGAGAATGAAATCGAACATAATTGTTGATAATTTAAAAAAAAAAAACGCAAAACCCACAAAGCCGTAAAAAAGCCAAACATATTTCTAAAAAAAAAACGAAATTTCCGAAATTACCACTTCCTTTTTTCCGCAATTTTCGAATTTTTCCCGCAATTCGTTTTCAAAAACAACTAGATTTGACGCAAAACAGCCAAATTGGCATCCCTGATGCTAATCGATGTACCAATGTGCTGCCTCACAATCAGCTGTTTTCGGCAATGCAACAGCACCAAACATTTGCAAATTGCAGCCACAAAAATCATTGCATGCCAAATGAGAAACTTATTGGTGCCCCAAGCAGGCGCCAGTGGTGGCACTGACTTTGAAAAAAAGGATGCGTTGCTGGGATTTGCTCTCGACCTGCCGGATGAACAACTGGATACCGCTGTGCTGCAGCTGCAGGCCGCTGGCCATAGCCTTCAGCAGCACAACAACAACAACAGCGCGGCTGATTATCACTCTCAGCTGCTGCAGTGCGTTGACTTATTGCCACCAATGAGCGAAGCAACTCCTCTCTCTGGTGTTTACCGTACCTCAGCCGTGCAGGACTATCATGAGACTTATAGTTTTGATGGTAACGCTGGTGCGGCCACCGAGCTGGTGAATGTGGCCAACAAAGACTGTGATTCGTTGTCCAAGCTGGCCTACAATTTGTGGCGCATGGCCAAGGAGGATCACATTGTTATTGATCGGTAGGTGGAGCAATAGGTATACAAGTACATAATATTTTTTACACGCTCGAACTTCCACAGCAAACGCAACGAAGTTGTGCGCACCAATGCGCTAACCAATCAAAAGACCATCTATCGCTGCATGGATCCTGTCGGCATGTGCATGCGTAAGGGAACGGCAGCGGCAACGACTCCGCCAAAACCGAGTGCCACCAAGGTAGGGCGACCGCGCAAACGCACAGCTACCGCATCGGGTGTATCGGAAAATTCAATATCAGCACCAGTTTCAAAAATGGAACCGACAGAGCCAACGCCACAGCCGTCAACAGATGCAACTTTACGCACACGATCCGGTCGTATTGTGCGTACACTGATTACACCGCCCACTTCGCATGCTCCAGGTCCAGTTCCAGCTTCAGCACAACAGTTGGATTCATTATTATCTGATCTGAAGGACAAGGATTATCGCTGTAATAGTGCAGCGCCCACTACAGATATAGCCACGGATACAGTGCCATCTCCCAGCCCTGCTGAACGACCAGGTCGCACTGTACCAGAAAATTCCATATGTCCGGGCTGCAATAAAATTTTTCTGGGGCGTCGTCTCAAACGTCATTTTGTGCAATATCCGGAGCACATGCAGCGCGCAACGCCAACCACTAGCCAAATCGACTCTAATTCCCAGTCCAATTCAACACTCTTTGGATTACTGACTGCTCAGCTGCAGCGTCACTCCCATCTCAGCGAAGAGCAGCGTGCCGATCTCTTTTTGCATGAACTCAACGATTTTGTGGAGCAGCTGCAGTTGCGAAGCACACGTCTTATACGCAACACATCCGGCTTGCATTTTGTGAATGCACGGATCGCTCGCGTCCTTGGCATACCCGAAGGCCAGTACGCATTGGACATGTCTGCGATGGAGTCTGCGTTGGCGCCAGCTCCGGAACCAGAACCATCTCTGCTGCACGCCAGCACTGTGGCTGGGACGCGTAGCAATCTGGTGGATTATCCAGGACTAAGTATGTCATTGGACGACACTTTGACGGATGAGGCAGCACAGCGGTTGAATCTATCAGCCGGTGGTAAACTGTTGCCGCCCAGCGAGGAAAGTTTACTGCGGAATGTGAGCGATCTTATGCAGCCACCGGTGGCAGTGCCCACGACTGTTGGCGGTCATGTGGCGGGCGTTAATGGGGCGGGTGTTGGCGCCCTCTTGCCGCATTACGATCATGTCAGCGATAATGCCGTTGAGGCACTCAACATGAAGGAGACACCCAACGCGGCCATTTTGGATCTCAACGTCGACTTCTTTCAGTTCCAACAATAACATGCCAAGGCCAAACAAATGCTTTTACAAATTGCGAATGTATTACTATTATTATTAATATTTTTTTATTACTATAGTTATTAGTTAGCCTTACAATGTTTACAAGATATACCATGAAATGTACAGTTAGTAGTAGCCATGAAATATAAGCGAAGAAATACTCAGCATGAAATATGAAGTAATGTACCGTTCGTCTTCTGTAATTTACGTTTACTTGTCAGTGTTGTGCGCGTGAAAAGTAATTTCCGTCACGAGCACGCACGCTGAGGAAATCAAAATTGTTTACATTAATGACATGTTTATTATTTGTTTGGTATTGTATTGATATTATGCTGGAATTTTTAAAGGATCCAGCACCTTTTACAGCATAACCTTTTCTTAATGCAGATAATTTTCCATGCTATATTAGTGATGCTGTTCTGCGTTTCCCACACTTTAGAGTTGAATTTTTGTGAGGGCTACTATAATTTTGACATGAAACTCGCGTTATTCTTCAGCGTTATAAGATCACGCACGCATGCGTACAACTCTAGCTTTTTTTGCCAAATTTTGAAAAACGCCCACTGGCGCCACCTTGTGTCTTGATTTATGCAACTGCTGTCCATAACTGTCGAATGGCAGACATAAAAACCTAAAGTAAATGACGCGCGAATATTAAAACGGAAAATTGAAATTCACAAATTTTGTGAAAAAAAAATGGAAAATTGAAAATTCAATGGACGGCTGCCATTAGGATTGAGTCATTGCCCGCAAAACTGAAAATACAGAAACAGAAAATAAACGAAAAAGGTAAACGGCTGCGGCCGAAAGTGAAAATGATGGCTAATGATTTTTATGGTCTGTGTATTTACGTATGTATGTCTATATCTGAGTGAGCGTGTGTGTGTGTGTGTATGTGTGCTTTGCCTTGTGTTTGGTTAAAGTTTGATGTTTTGTTTTTATTTACATGCACGCACGCTGCTACCTCTTTTTGTTTATATTGCATATTGTTTGTGCGCATTCTCTGCTCGACGTTGTCTATATTTATGGGCTTTACTTACATACTACCCATCTATACATGTACATATAGATATACTTGTATTTACATACAAATGGATATGTTAGCGTGTATATAACGCACACAAATCACTTGAAAATAACTGAATCTGAATCTGATTGCTGTTGCTGCCTTAAAAATTAATTTAAAATACTTGTGTACTTAATAGTATTCGTCGTAAAGCTAATTATTTAAATATAAACATACATTTTACAACATTTCAATGACTGTGAAATGATGGCTCCAGAAGTGCTAAGGTCGCTAGTGACCGACCCTGAGGTTGACTTGAAAACCGATTGGCTACCATATCGTAATAATCAAAAATGTTTATTGTGTAGAGAATGATTTTTGCACCGATCGTTCCTATGGCAGCTTTATGATATAGACAGACGATCATTATGATGCATTCTACAAAACTTATAAACAATGATATTATGATATGATATATCATAATATATAGTTGGCGTGATCTGCGTATGGATAAGACAACTTGTCACGCAGCCGAGCTTGGTGTCTCTAGCTTGTAAAGCTTATTAGTTCTTGATGTTTTTGGGGAAGTATAGAGTGTCACTTTTTGTTGCTGACTACAGGCATCTAGTTTAAATAACCCCTACGTTTTCGAAAACAAATTCGTTATTACAAAATTTATGAAACCTATGTACCCTTTTGGATTCGTTCCTTATTATACTCAGTACAGTTCATCATTAAGCTACATAAATAGGAATTTCTGTCTAAATACTTTGACGCTGTTTATTTGCAACTTCTCCATACATTGTCATTGAAAAGTACCTCAGAAAAGGGTTGAAATGTTTGATTTGCTCTTTGTTGTGGAGGGATCCATTATCCCCATATCCCCCAAACTTTTACAAGTCACTTTGTATTTACATGTGCGTCGATTTTTTCATATTTTTTTTTAAATCGACTTAATCATAAATGCTTCTGACAAATTACTTTGCAACTTCTGCATTAAGTGAGATTGGAAAGTGCCCCAGAAAAGGGGCTTATATGCCATTTGTCAGGCATTTCCCCCTCCACTTGAACAATTACACTATTTGGCACTTGTCGCGCCGTCTGCAAGGGTCACGCGTTGGCCGCTTATGTATTTGCGAAGCGTCAATATGATTAAGCCTGATGAGCTATGATTTAAATCGAAAGTGCGATTGCGATTGCGATGTCGATTGAAATTGCAATTTAGAGTGAGTCGTGCCCCATATAAATGGCTTTGCGTGCCGCGTCACTTGTGGCAGTGGCAGCATGAATATCTTCGTGGACAGCAAAGTTGGCGGATTACCAAAAACGGCAGTTGGCCAGTTGGCCCACAATTCCAGCGACGATGATGAGCAGACACTGTGTAATCGCGAATCGGCCAAGAGGAGCATTAAGTACTATTTGCAGAATACTACATTGCACGGCCTCAAGTATATTGCCGAGGATCGTATAACTATTCCCGAGCGGTGTGTATACTATACATATAATTCGGTTGTGAGTTCTGGATCATTTCTATTCCGTATTTGGTTTCCATCGTAGTGTGTTTTTCGGCATATCGTTTGTGTTGGTGGTGATTCTTTCTGGTTTCTTCATATCGAATATTTATGTTAAATGGTCTGCTTCGCCCATTATCATCTCAACGGGCGCTAAACAGAAGCTGACCAGCTCCATACCCTTTCCAGCCATTACGATATGCAATCTCAATCAGGCATTGCGCAGTCGTGTCAAGCGCATCTCACGGTAAGTTGGGAAAGTAGTTTTATATAGCAAAGTTTTTTGTCTGATTGTCTGGCAAGAAGCACCATATTTTTTCCGGTAATTCACTGTTTTTCATTATTAACAATATTTTATTTTCACTACAATAAAATAGAAGTTAAAGATAATTACTCCTAATTCTGTTTTTACATCGTCTTTCTTTACAAGGCTTTGATTTAACACGGTTTGAAAATTGAAAATTTTATAGTATATGGTTGCACGACTTTATTCCATTTAGCACGATTCTAAATAACATATGATCAATGCCTTTTTTAAACGACTTTTTCTGGAACCAATCTACCGTGTAAAAACCGAATTAGGTGTAAAGGATATTTAGCAAAGGTCGAGCGCTGAAAAAATATAATTCATACAACTATTTATAATACACATACCTACTTATGTTATTAAAAATTCAAAACTCGCATTCTGCTCATTTTTGTGCCCGTGAGCAAATTTTGAAATGGGTTGCTCATGCTCGTGGGTAAATTGTGAGCTCTGAGCAGCCCATATCCATTACCATGATTTGATCTGCGAACCAGATTGATATAAATTCTAAGAATTATTTAATTAATTTAATTTTCTAAACAAAATTGTTATTTCGAAACAGAAATGAATCTCCAGCATAGAAACTAGACCGAACATTTATTGCAAAATCGGAAAAAATGTCAGTAATTTCAATTAAAAATGGTTATACTTTACAAACATATGTATACACACATTACATATTATTTCCTAGTACTTATAGTATATCTAATTATATATCTGATAACATTCTGTTTAGTTTCTTCATTCTTTTCTGTAAAAGATTTCTGCTTTAAAACATTGTGGATCTAGTTCCAGCACCAACTACTCGCTGCTGATGAGCCTTTGCGATCAGGGCGGGGATCTGACCATTTCCTACATTGGAACCTGGAAGTACTTTAAGGCCATACTGGTGGAGGTGGCTCAGCCGTGCAATGATATGCTGCTCTATTGTAGCTTCGGGGCTAAGCAGGAAAATTGCTCCGTCATTTTCAACTCGGTTCTAACGGACGACGGACTATGCTGCACTTTTAATGCGCTCGATCCTATCTATTTGTTTCGGAACTATAGGTGGTCCAACAATCAAAAAAGACGGGTTCAAACCCATATTTATTTTAAGCTATATTGCAGTGATGATGTGCGTCTCTCCCCGCCTCGGGACACACACTATAAGGCCATTAATTGGACGCCAGAGCGTGGCTATACGAAGAAGCTGCCGGATTTTTATTATCCTCGTGGTTCGGGCGGTACAGGCAGTCGCATGGGTCTCAGTGTGGTGCTAAATGCTTCCATAGGCGAGTATTACTGTACCAAGTCCATGAGCGTCGGCTTCAAGGTGCTCGTCCACAGTCCGGCCGAGTTGCCCAAGGTCAGTAATTATGGGTTTCTGGTGACGGCGGGTCGTGAGGCACGCATACCCATCGAACCGGTATATGAGGATGCATTGTCCAGCATACGATCGATCAAAAAGAATGTCCGTCGCTGTCTCTTCTCCGATGAGGGGGATCTCGCCTACTATCGCACCTACTCTCGAAAGAATTGTGAACTGGAGTGCGAAGCCAAATTGCTGTTGCGTGAGTGCAATTGTGTGCTTTACTATTTGCCCCGCATCGATCCAATGGCTCGTGTTTGTGGACCAAATGATAATGTCTGCACTGTGACTGTACAGACGCAAATTGAATCCTCGCAGGGGAATCTCTCGTGCGACAGCTGCTGGCCTGGTTGCTTCGAGTTAACCTATCGGGCTACCATCTCTAGTTCGCTGATAGTGCCCGGAAGGAGTTATCAGAATGGTGATGAGCTTATCGCTTATATACTTAACGGATCCGTCGATCTCAACGAGTTGTCTATATTAAACTTTTTCTATGTATCCAATATATTTCGCAGCACCACCAAATCAGAAATGTTTGGGTTCACTGAGTTTTTGTGTAAGTTTTGTTGACTTAAGTTAAAATCCACAAACCATATTATTTAGTGAACATTCAAAGCGCTCTATCGTTATGAAATCGATGCTTCTAATAGGGCCTTTTTTCGATTTTCAATTAATTTACAACTTGGTCCAGTTTTCGAATGAAATCGCAATCTGTTTTTAACTGCGAACTATACCTATACTTGTATAATCTTTGAGTTAGGCACATTTTTGATGAATCAGAAAGATAGCTTTTGCTTTCCTACGTAATGGAAGAAATAACTTTAATAATAAATTAAATTAAATGAGAAAATTTCGAAACTTCATTTGATTCCACTCAGGTTATGGTAAAGCTTTCGAAACTAAATAAATCAATTGAATGAAATCAGAAATGATAACTGGCCTGAATAAAATTGTACTGAGATTTTAAGGAAATGACAATTTCCACAAATTTTTCAAAAATATACTCTATTGAATCGAAACACAATTAAAATATTTGTATTGTTTTTATTTGATTGAAATTTGGTTTTCAAAAGTCACTTCTAGAAGTTCGAATTCATTTTGAGCCCAAGGTGATTTTAAACCAAAAGAAAGATATTACTCAATTTTTTTAGTACGGCTTTCAATTCCGTTTTACAAAAGGATTTGTGTTAAAAAATACATCATCTGTCACTTTTCTAGGGATTCTCTATAAAGTGTAATTCCAAATAAAACTGGAATTATTATATTAATTCGCTTTTAATTCCTTGTTAGGATTGCAATTTCTTTTATAATCATTGAACTGTTTGCATTCACAGCCAACACTGGTGGCCTCCTTGGCCTCTTCATGGGCTTCAGCATCTTTTCGGTAATAGAGATTGTCTATTATATAACTGTGCGTCCGTATTGTGCCTCCCGCACCCTAAGACAGCATCGTCGCCAACGCAAGCAGGCGGAACTGGGTTGGTTGCCGCCGGGGAAGCCTCAACGGCTACGTCGTCGTCGCCCACCACCGGCTTATTCCCAGCTAACACGCTCCCAACCACTCCGGCCAAGCCTCTGGCAAGCGTTGCACCATCGTCAGCAAGAACCACCGATTTATCCGTATTTGGATTAACAACACCAATGGACGTCCTAGAAATTGTTCCCCTTTACATTCCCTATTCAAGATCATTCACAGATTTAATTAAATTTAGGAAGCATTTAAGATAAGTAAATAATTGAATATTTGTGTGAGTTATCTTTATGGCATCGAACATATACCTAACCACCCTATAAAGATGATCTCTACGATTAATTGGGCTAAACATTCAACAGATTTGATGGCTTAAAAGTGCTTTCAATAAATATTAAAGAATTGCGGAAAAAAAAGAAATTTGGAAAGTATTTTGCGGGGTGAACGGAAGGGAAAAGTTCTATGCTAAAAGTGATTTCAAACGAAACTGTTTTGGAAATTTATTTCTTTATAAGCATATCTATTTTTTAATCGCCTTTCACTATAACTCCTTAATATAGTACAAATAGTTTTCAGATTTCATTTATTTTCATCTCAAATTAGATGTCAATGTTTATTAAAATGTATCTAATAAAAGTTAATAATAATAAATAATAATTAATAAAGTTAATAAAAGTTAAGTAGGCTAATCAAATCACTTTTCATTTTATTATATAAGGAAATTTAATTTTTGTGATTAGTGCATTAATTTATAAGAATCTTTCTTGTCGCACTACAAATAATTATAATAATAGGGAAATAAAGAAATATTTAAATGCACAAAGATGGCAAAATACAATATACATATATACAGATTTATTTTGGAAGTCTCAGATTTTTATGAAGCTTAGCTATCTTGAGGCGACAAATATAAATCTCATGAAAGAACAGAACATAACATAAATTCCACAATGTAAGTTTATTCCTGAGCTTATGAATCGGTACTATCATGGCATAAAGCATGATATAAAAAGAAAAAACATATGTGTAGCTTTAAAAACTCTGAAAGTTTGGTCTCATATATACAAAAAATGTTGAAACTGTCGTATTATGGTCAAATCTGCAAGTCGATAATTTTAAACAAAAATGAATAAAAATGGTTTAAAATATGGGCCTTTAATGGCGAAGTTTTTAAATGATTCTGTGTTATCATTGGGTTTTCAATATCACTTCGAGTATTTAGATTATGAAAAGTGCAGTAAAATTGGTATTGGTTTAAAATAAAGTCATATTTTAATCATGACTTGCTGCTGGAATTAGCCAAATTTGTATGTAAGAACTATATACCTGCTTGCCTGGCCAAAGCTTAACACGACCTCTTTTTACTGGAACTTGGTCTAGTACGATTCAAAATTTGCTACCTTTTCTCTTTTAACACGCTGAAAACGATAGAAAAATTGCAAGAAGGATTCGCATATGCTAGCAGCTTGGAAAGACCATTTCAATTGATAAGAGAGTTGCAAAAAAAAAATACTTTTACCGCATAAGGTGTGCCAGAAAAATCTGTTAAAAGCCAATAAACAATCGCAAAACTGTTCCTTTTGCAAGCAAAAGGACGTGCTAAATATTTGTTTGCTTGTGGTAACAAGAGAGAACGCTACAGTCGAGCAAGCCCGACAGTGTAATACCCTGTACCCAGGTAAACTTCCGTCACTGAGTTATATGCGCCCAAAGCAGCAGCAAAAAGAGGAAGAAGAAGATCGAACTTGTTGCTGCAGTTTGTGGGGGTTGTACTGGCGAGAATTTGTTTCGCTAATAACTTTTCTTAGAATCGACAGAATTGAATAAAATTAATTAATAAATAAACAACAGTAGATATTTATTTATAAATTATGTGTGCAAAGTTTGGTTTAGGTAGCATTTGAAATGTGGACGCTATTGACGAAATTCTGTAGCGGGGGAAGGGGGGGAAATTAAAAAAAATAAAATAAACTCGTCCTTACTCGGACCCAGGAGAATCTGGATGCCAACTTTGGTTATTTTAGCTTTTATAGTTTCTGAGATCCTCGCGTTCATCCAGACGGACGGACAGACGGACAGACGGACGGACAGACGGACGGACATGTTTAGATCGATTTCTCTCGTCATGCTGATCAAGAATATATATACTTTATGGGGACGGAGATGCTTCCTTCTGTATGTTACATACTTTGCACAAACCTAATATACCCTTTTTACCCTACGGGTACAGGGTATAAAAATATTTAGCACGAAAACAGCTTATAATTCGATTATATGCTAATGCCACAAAATTGTTCTTATATTTTATATTAAGCTGCCTTTTTACGCTTACAAATATTTTCCTTTTTAATAAAATTAATCAACATAAACATTTTGTTAATATTGAAAATATTTGGACCGTATAACCAAGGGAAATTTAAAAAAGAAAATGTTTGTTGTTGTGCATTTGTCGAAATCTAGGATCGTCCCCCCATATTATGTCTTGTTTAACATGATTTCGCTTAATACGAGGTTTTCTGGGAACGTAAGCGAGAGCCAGATGTACTTATTTTTCTTACTACATATTATTAGTCCCAGGGCTTGTGGCAAAAAAAAAAAAGAAACACCGCATACCTATCTTAAATCAATATGTGGAATGTACTTAGTGCTGACATATTTCGCTACCAAATCCAAATCCAACTCCAAATATGTAGGTTGGGCAGCTTAATTGCCTGACAGAAGTAAAGACGAGCGCTGAAAACAAATAAACAAGTCTAAGTAAAGGCGGAGGTTAAGGCGTGAAGGGCATGGAAGAGTCAACGAACGAGCCGCTTTGGCAGGTGCAACGGAAACGGTGCGCCCGGCACGCGTTCAATAAGAAGCCACAACCACACACACACACTCACACACACACACACACACACATACATAGATAGATAACTACACTGACCGAAATTCGTGAATGTAATTTGCACGCCATCGCATGGCGCTAATCAACGATGTGTGTGTGTGTGTTTGGATGCGCCTTAAATTTCAAAGTAGCTGCTAATGGCGCCCAAATAGTTTCCATTGTGGCTTTGCTGCGGTTTTCGGCCATGTGTGTCAGTTCAAAATAAAAATCGAAATAGAAATTGTGTTGCGTTGTGTCCAATTGGCCAGCAATTTCAAATCCACACCCCAAAATGAGCAAACGCCAGCCAGCCCGCCAGCCAGTGGGCTAAAAACGTCGCACTGATGTCACTCGCTGATGCCAAAACCAAAAAATAGCAGCTACTTGACTTGACTTGACTTGACTTGACTTGACAGCCAAAGTGCGACCGCCTCAGTAAGTGCGTATTTCTTCTTCTTCCCCATTTTTGTTTGTTGCCTTTTTTGCTGTTGGTTTTTGTATCGGCATCCGTGAGATACATTTTTACGACAGAACGCACACTAGCAGCAAAGTATTGGAGAAGGGCTTCTGCGTCGGGGCAAGTGTCAGATGTCATTGTTAAGGGACAGGCACACCAGCAGACGCAGACGGACAGACAGACAGACACTCAAGCACTTCACCATTCGAATTGCTTGACAAATGTGCGAACATATCCAACTGATTGTCGATGGCAACAAGGCTCTTTACAGTGGTATGATTCGTTCTACGCTTTGCTCAAAAAATTATGAACCCGACCCAGTCCGATTTTGGTGTACCGCGTGGCCTTACCTCTCTCCCCACAGTCTTTTAACTAAAAATATTGTGGCACAAATCGTTTTTGTAGCAGCTGCACCGATTTTGATGAAACTTCATAGTACTACAAAAAACAAATCAAGAATCCCCAATTTGTTAAAGGTATCTAAATAAACCAAATCATTTTTCTCTTGAGAGGGATCTTTGCACCGACTGTTCGTATCGCATATAGTGCGCATATTTCTTTATTTTATAATAGACTCTGAAATACCCCTAAAAGCACAGAAGCTATTCTCCTAAGCGTAATTACTACACTACATTCCAATGACAGCAATATAAAATATTAAAGCTATATATGGTTTTTTATAAACTTGTTCCGCGTATTAATTAGACAAGTCTACATACCAGGTTTGGTGTGGTTAGCGTTATGGGTGCAAAAGTTCTCGCTGTTCATACAGACGGACAAACAGAGGGGTCTGCTACGTGTCCTTGGCTAGTGAATAAATTCTCGGAACACAATATTTTACTTTAGTGTAAAAAAAAAGAAATCGATAACATGTCTATCTGTTAAGAAATGTTTCACATTTTTTGGCTATACTTTCTAGTTGATGCATTTTTTTCCTTAATACACATTTATTGTTGCAACAAATGCCATTTTGTGTGGGACTGGAGCACTAGTTGCCAGGCATTACTAGAGATATACCCCACTTCAGTGGCACTTATGTGGAATGAATGTGCCTTCAAAGCTAACACATTGTTTTTATTATTTTTCAAACTAACTCGTCATAGCTAGTACTGCAACTTCATCCTTATACGATCTAGAGAATTTTTAAAGTTCAGTCCTTTCTTTTGACCCTTCTTTTCTTTTCAGTTAATTCAATAATTATACGCAACTTTAATGTTTAGAGAACAACTGCTGAATCAGAATTGCTCTCCATTTGCAAAATCGTTTTAAGGCGCTATGTTTTTTCGGTGATCTCAGGCCACTGTGGCAACGGTATTGCAGCAGCATCGGCGGCGGCGGTGGTGGTGGTGGTGATGGCGGCGGCGGCACAAGTGCCTGTAAGTGCCTGTCACATATGCAGAGGCATGGTTTTATGGATGCCGCACTCTCCTTGCCGCTCCACCAACCAAATAGAACAAAAAACTGGCAGCTGGAAAATTTCACATAGCGCCTAGGCTAATAAGTATAGCCCCAGATGCTACCGACGCCACCGCCACCACCGCCACCACCGCACCACCGCCACCGCAATGGCAGCGGGAGCAGCCGCCTATGTTGCGGCAAAGCAATTTCCTCTTTACGATTACGGGTACTGGTACCGGTACGGGTCTGTCATACGCGACGTATGCGCGATCGCAATAAAGTTCTGTGGAACAACATCACAAACAAGAATAACACCACCACCACCACCAACAACAATAACAACAATAACAATAACAGAGGCACGAGGAAGAGCGCTCACTAGAAATTCGAAATGTAAACAAACAAGTGGCGGGAAAGCGAGCGGAGAGACCGCAGGGA